TTTGATGGCTGAAAAGTTCAATTTTATTCTCATCAGACCAGAGCACCTTGCTAAATACATTTAGTCTCCCACATGCCTTTTCGCAAACTCAAAATGTGCATTTTTGTTTTTTGCTGAAAGTAATGGCTTTCTTCTGGCCACTCTGCCATAAAGCCCAACTATTCTCGTCCTATGTTCAGATACTCCAGTCTCTGCTGTGGAACTCTGCAGCTCCTCCGGGGTTACCTTAGGTCTCTGTGCTGCCTCTCTGATTAATGCCCTCCTTGCCCGGTCCTTGAGGTTTGGTGGGCGGCCATCTCTTGGGAGGTTTGCTGTTGTGCCATGATCTTCCATTTGGTTATGATAGATTTGATGGTGCTCCTGGGAATCAGCATATTTGGATATTTTTTTACAACCTAACCCTGACTTGTTCTTCTCTACAACATTGTCCCTTACTTTTTTGGAGAGTTCCTTGGTCTTCATGGCATAGTTTGGTTAGTGGTGCCTCTTGCTTAGGTATTGCAGCCTCTGGGACCTTTCAAAAAAGGTGTGTATATGTACTGACGGATCATGTGACACCTAGATTGCACACAGGGGGACATCATTTCACTAATTATGTGACTTCTGAAGGTAATTGGTTGCACCAGAGCTTTTTATGGGCTTCATAACAAAGGGGGTGAATACACATGCGCATGCCAATGCTCAGTTCTATATTTCAAAAAAATAGTTTTATGTATAGGCCTATATTTTTCTCATTTCACTTCACCAAGTTAGACTATTGTGTTCTGATCCATCACATAAAATTCAGATTAAAAAAATATAACATGTCTACTTATGTTTTTAATAAACTTATGAGAATTAATACAAGATTATGAATTTTAATATTCAGAGAATATTTATTCATAAATCTCTCGTTTCGCGGGGCACCACCGGAGATTTAATTCACCCAGAGTCTCCGGACCTCTGGGTAGCGTTTTAATAATTATACAATTCTTCACTAGTGATCAGTTAGTTAATAATCACTTAACTATCTTAAGTCAGTCTCATATCGAAGGAGTAAATTCCCGTGGCAGGGACTTGTAGGTAGACAATACACACACACACAATTCCTGTGATAACGGTGAAATTTATTAAATAACTGAAGGTGGATATAAATGCGGTTAAATATACATCAAAGAAATGAACAATAGCTAAACAATGAGAATGTGGGGTTCTATTGTGGGGAGAATTTGATTCAAAGGGGTTAAAGATAATCTATTAACAACTATTGGACATCACTGATCACAGAATGCCTTGGTTTGGTCTTACTGCTTGTCGTTTCTCCTAGCCGGGTTGCTGGTCAGCGGCCTCACACTGGCGGAGTTCCGTGCATTCTCGGTTAGGACGGCTTAGAACCGTCGGCCCATCACTTTCTCTGCCAGGGAATTGCTCCGGAGGTCCGTCTTTACTAGTTACTAGTGTAACTTAACGGTCTGATAACTTTTAACAAACAAAAGAAAAGAAAAGAAAAACAAGTAAGATGCTTGGAAACGAGGGAAAAGAAGAGGTCGCGGCGCTTTGCGTGTGTGGCTTGAAACGAACAAAGAGCCTTCGCTGCGCTGGGTCGAACTTCTTCGGGAGATGGGGCACGCTGGGCGTGTGTCGAAGCGCAGTTGAAGATGGCTAGAGAACAAGCAGAACAAGAGAGAGAGACAGTGTCTCGCTGTTTTTGTTGGTTGGGGAGGGGAGCTTCCCAGCACGGCTTTCTGGGGTGCAGCTTTCCCCGGGACATTTGGTCGGGGGTCCTTTACACTTTGGGAGGTCGCGGGGTGCCCTGGCTACTGGGGGTGGGGGTCTCCGGGCGCTGCGCGGGTTGATCCGGTTGCGGTTTGGAGGGCTGCAGTGGGATTGTAGGGCGATTGTCGGTATCTTGATGCATTGTGCTTTTTCCCTGTGCAGGGTCTCTGGATGGCTGCTGGGCGTTTAGTTTGTGCATTGGAGTCCGGGGGAGGTATTTCCTCGTTGGCTTGGAGGGACCAGTTTGCGTCCATGGTTTGCTTCGTTGGCCTCAGATCCATGGTTCCCCATTTCTCTGTCGGCCAGTTGTTGGACCCCTCTGGATACTGAGGTATAGTTAATTTTCGGGATGTGCAGTGTGGGTGCGGGGCAGGGCTGTGCTCCAGTTTATTCTGGGCTTGTGCCTGGAGTTCTCGGCCCTTGACGGGTAGCTGAGCTGGATGATTTTGCCTTGTTGTTGGTTTGGCTGGTGTTGCACGGCGGCCTGGGGACATGCTGAGCATGGGGGATGTTAGCTGGCGCGTGCGGCCTTAGTTTTTCCGGTGGTTGGGGGGACGGCGGACTTTTATTGGCGGGTGCACGGTGACCTGCGCGGTGCGTTTGCTGCCGGGCTGGGACTTGCTGCTGGTGTTTCTCTCTGCTGGCTTTCGCTGTCGTGTTCTGCCGCTCTCTCTCTCTTGTTTGCCCGACCTCGCACACTGCTGGGCATTGGGTGTCACTGTGCTCATGCAGTGCATGCGTTGGGCTCGTACTTGGGAATTGATGTTGATTGCATGGCATTTGGGTGTTTTGGTTGTTTACTACATGGCGGTGGGGTGCTGGGTGGGGGGGAGCACTGGTCTACGTTGTGTGCGTGCTACGGTCGGCCCGGGCGCTGCTCTTCCGCGGGTTACACTTCTTGCGTTCCATTGGCATTGTGTTGTCAACTGGCATTTGGATGGTCATTTTTATTTTTATTTTATTTTATTTTTTTTTTGGTGCGTCGGTTGGTTGGGTCCCACCCCTATTGGCTACTGGGGTTCTTGCCTGCTTGTTGCTGGGGTCGGTGTGGCACAGTCGTGGCTGTCCTTTGCTGTCCTGCTAAATGTCTCCAGTGACACCTTTACGGCGAGAGGGGTTCACTAAGGCTCTTTGAATACACAGTCCTTAAGCGATGCATGTCTGATTGAGTCTCTGCAGATCCTTACCAAATCCCAGGCGATGTCTCTGGTTTTTGCATGTCAAAAGGCCAACTCCAGGGGAGGAAAACTTCCCCCCCTTTTGGCATTATCTGACCTCACCTCCCTCTTGAGGTGAGAGGCTGGTTGGTCCACTACAAAAACATTGAACTGAAGGCTGTAATGTAACAAAATAGGTAAAAAGCCAAGAAGGGTGAATACTTTTGTAAGGCACTGTATATAGCATTTGTAAGTCGCTTTGGATAAAAGCATCAGCTAAATGAATTAATGTAAATGTAACTCAGAAAAATCCTTCTAAAATAATTAAGAGTTCCTTCTCGTTTTTCTGGGAGCTGAAAAAGGAAGACTAGATTAGGTAGACTAGCAGCAGAGCCCCCAACAAGGAGAGAGAACTAGAGGACCGGGGAAAAAACTTTTAAAACAAATTGATGCCGCTAAGGCATTGGTTAACTTCGTTTCCCTGTGGACAGTTAACTCTGTGAGATTTTACTAATGATAGATAGACCTACATTTCAGACAGTCCTCATCAGAAAAACAACCATAAAGGTTGTTTGTTCAAGCAAGTTACTACGACCCTTATTAACGTTTACTTTGGCGGCGACCACTAGTGTCCGTACGACGGTAGCAAAGAAGGAAGTCGGGTGATGTAATATAAAAAGTGAGAAAGTTGGCGTAAGGAGGTGAATGTGGTGGATTGATGGGTCACACCCAGGACCAAGTAAATGTTAAATAACGTTTCTAGGAATGTTCTTCCTGTCCTCGCCCTGCGTCTGCTTAGCACCTCCTGGACCTGGTCTGGGAGACAGAATGTTTTTGTTTTCATGAAGATGATTTTTGTGTTGGCAAAGCACATATAGCAGAGGTCACTAAAAGGCGGACCAGCCTGGTCATTCCTGTGTTTCATCTAAACAGACGACGGTAAAACTAAACTAAACTGCACCAAAGTGTCTAATGAAGTGAGCAAAGCATCTGATGAAAGCAGCCAGCGGCTCCGTGAGTAAAATCAGCTGACGAAAGTATGAAAGAACACGCTGCTAAAAAATCGTTGGATTGATATGATGGAATGCGGTGATCAATCGGTGACGAGTAATGTGACTTGCAAATAAAATGTATGCAGTAGTGTTAAAGGATATCAGAAGAGGAAATAAACGGAAAGCCAAAAACTGAACGTGAACTTTGATACAAGTTACATCATTTCAATTTCCCTGAAACATTTAGGCGAATAAATCCCAAGACATCATGATCATATTCTGGATTATTCAATAATGAATTTACAATCAGAATAAATAAATATAAATGCAGATAATATCAGCATTGTGCCAGTAGAAATGATCCTGTGCCTCTGAGCAGGACATACAGTAACCTATAATTATTCATGTGCAGATGTTTGTTGAACAGGTAACATTTTATTCATTTAGCTGACGCTTTTATCCAAAGTGTCTTATAATTACTATACTCTATATGTCAGAGGTCGCACGCCTCTGGAGCAACCCACTTAGGGGTTAAGTGTCTTGCTCAGGGACACATTGGTGTCTCACAGTGGATTCAAACCCAGGTCTCTCATACCAAAGGCATGTGTCTTATCCACTACACCACCCCTAGGGAATCATGCTGCTTTGCACTGATAACTGTGAGACCTTAGTACCAACACAGTGCACATGTATGTATACACAAACTCCATCAAAAGTCTCTCCAGCTGTTTGAGCCGACTTACAGCTGATCCATCTGTGATCAGCTGCAGCTGTCATCAGAAACGGATGTCGCTTCACGTGACGCCTCGGAGGAAAGGACGTCTCATGTCTCTAAAAACACATCCTCGTCCCTTCTCTCCTGTCTGGTTGCCTTGTGTCTTAGTCCCGGCCATCGTGGATGCATGGAGAGACGCAAGTGAGGGAAACGTGGATGCAATTAAGAGACTTGAGAAGCACCCACAGACTAATCACATGTGCTCCTTTCGTCTCCTGTGACGCTGCTCAGCCAATCAGATCTGTGCATTCCGATGTTTGCGAGTCGATTCACCAGAGACGTTTTGGAAACACCCACGAATTGAGGAGACAAAAGGGAAAATAGATTTCACTTGGCTTTTAATCAAGAATGTACAGATTTTTACATGTACATTCCTCCCACGGGGAGGGGATTTAAACATAGAAATATAAAACAATCAAACTTTATTGTGTGGGTGTCAGACACATACAAATATTAAAAGAAAACATAAATACAAATGAACATTTTTTTTAACTAGCTTACCTTGTAGCTTACAGCTACAACATTAGCACTAACAACTTGCATGAAAGAGATCTACATAGACACACAATAAACATGAATTAAGTTTGATCAGCTACAAAGCAGGCAATGCTATTAGTAATATAAAAATACTTTCTTACCTCAAAATTATTTTTTATCTTTTATAATTGGCTGTGCCTGCCACATGGTGCTACTATTCCCCATCTGGGATAAGGACTAAACTGAGCATGTGCAGAGTAAGTCAGGTGATTTGTAACGTGTTCCTGATTGGAGAAATTGAACACTTTTCAAATGTCTTACAACCATCCCCAGCTCAGCAAGATGGGTGTGGAGACCATTTAAATTTTTAACGGAATGATAGTCAGACACTAGCAAATGGAGAAAACACAATAAATTTGGTCCTATCTGCATTTACAACAAGTTTATGATTTGGAAGGAACAACTGGAGAGTGAACATTTAGTTGATATTGAACATGTTCATTGCTGTTGCACTACATGGAATATAGCACTGTACAAATTATATAATCTACTGTACTTTCTTGAATGTAGCTGAATTAAAGTCATGAAAATAGTCAAAGCAGCATTTTCAAGCTACTACAGATCACATACAGGAAACAGCGCACAGTTTATGAGGTGAAGGGTTGAGGGTTAAGCCCACACGTGGAGTCAGATCCAGTTCATCCTCTGAAACTCCAGGTGCAGGAGAGAAGCGAAAGTGTTGCAGGAGGGTGGTGAAGAAGATGAAGAGCTCCATCCTGGCCAGACTTTCTCCAAGACAAATCCTGCGGCCTGAAAGAGACAACAAAGGAAGATGTTCATGTCCTCTGCATGTACATTAACGTCAAGAAGTGATGGCTAAATTGACCAACCTGCAGAAAAAGGCATGAAGGCATCTCGCTTGACAAACTTTCCATCTTTGTCCAGGAAGTGGGCAGGATAAAAGGTGTGTGGGCTCTCCCACTCACTCTCATCATACAGGACAGAAGTCAAGAGAGGATACACTGTGGTCCCCTGTAGAAAATACACAAATTGAAAAGCTGTTAATGTGCTAAGCAACAGTATACTTTTCAAAGTACAAAACAACCCAGAAATAAGTTACTACTTTCTGGTGGTTGGGTGGTGATGGCGCTATGGATAAGACACATGCCTTTGGTGTGAGAGACCCGGGTTCAGTCCCCAGCTCACACTAATGTTGCTCCAGAGGCGTGCGACCTCTGACATATATAGCAATTGTAAGTCGCTTTGGATAAAACCATGAATGAATAAATGTAGAAGTTAGAATGCTAACAAATCAATGACTTAAAAAACTGCGTTATTATGTATCATTATGAAAGATTAAATATAAATGTGCCAAAATTGTACCGATAATTCAGATTTATGTTGACACTGAATAAAAGTTATCAAGTTCAACTGTGAAAAGAAATAAACATTTTAATTTGCCTGTAAGTTCACTCCCTGTAATTGATTTTAAAATGTAATCTATTAAATCTATGAAATCTGTACATTATAGAAAAAAATGACACGGAAATTTAAAAAATGTATTTCACATTATTTACTGTCCCCAAAGGTTCATATCATCATTTAAATATGTAATTTTAGTTTTTGATTTAATATTTTTTACTATTTAATACATTCTTCCAAGTCAGGTTGGGTCCTCCATACCAGACGTTTCATTCAGTCTAACCTTCTTAATGAAGTGACCCTGGAAAGTGATGTCTTGGCTTGTTTTGTGAGGAAGTGCCATGGGGACGATGTTGGCCAGCCTTTGTGTCTCGTGGATGACGGCGTCAGTGAAGGGCAGGTTCTTCCTGTCCTCAACCTGCACCTGACGACTTCCTATTACCCTGTTCAGCTCCTCCTGGACCTGGTCTGGAAGATGAAAGGTTTTTGTATTCATGAAGATTATGAACTTGTTGGTAAAGCACTTATTGTTGCTTCGACTGTTGTTGTGGGTGTCTTAGGCTCCTTACCCTGTATTTTTGGATACTTGGCCATCAGCAGAAGTCCCCATCTCAGCGTAGTTGCTGTTGTATCAGTGCCGGCAGCAAACAGATTCATGACAGATGCCATAAGGTTATTATCGTGGAAGTGACTGTTGGTAATCCCAGATTCCTGCAGGTATACGAATCAATGCAGTTATTCAAACAAATTGGATCCAAATGTTTCATGCTTTACACTACTTTGAAGGACTACTTGGAGAATCTTGGGGGACTTTTTGGTTTATGTGACGGTTCTGTGAGTTGCTTTTCATTCATTTTCACTGACAATGAAACTTCTGGGCTGGGAAGGGTGTAACATGACATCTTGATCCACCAGCACTCACTGGAGTCACTGGCTTCTCACCAGACCCCCAGCAACAGCACTGGACTTAATTTTATCATTTTGGCTACAGTTAGGAATTAATTAAAAAGTTAAAAAGCTCCAATGTTGGGTTTCTTAATTGGACGCTGTGCATCACACTCAAACGTGGGAATCAAACATGGGACTCCAAAGTCTACATGTTAGTGTAAACATAATTTGGCAAACCTTAAATCTTCTTAAATCTTAATAGCAATGAGCATAATAGCAATTTTGATGATGATGATGATAATACACTTTCAAACCTCCAGATTTTGCTTTCGGACCAGAAAGGCATCCACAAATCCTCTGCACATCTGTGGATTGAGGGTCTCTTTCAAACGACTGAACAGCTGTAAGTTCTGTTTAATATTGGCACCGGCCAACTTCTGGACTTCCTTCCTGTTAGAAACCCAGTTAAAGATCCATGGGAACATGTTGTACACCTGTTAAAAAATATAAATCAGTTTGTAAAATAACAGGTAAGTGAAAATTTTTCTAATTTCTTCTATTCAGTTAACACAGTTTATGTATTATGTATATTAAAACCCCAATGCTGAAAGTTTAATAAATATATGAAATGACACCTGTATTGATGGGGAGCCCGCAAGCTGAATGTTTCTGTTTGTTCGATCCACCAGGGACGTAAATTCTGGGTCATCATATTCAAATCTGCTGCCATAAACAATTGAGCAGATAATGTTAGAGACTGCATAGTTCATTGGTTGAGTTGTATCAAAAGCTTCTCCTGCAACAAGGGAAACAGAGAAAAATATATAAATTATGAGGATTGATATTTTTTGAAGCCAGAAATGTTGTTTTTCACACAGTTGGGTATAAAAAGACATTTACCTTTAAATTTCTTAAACACTTCAAGGAGATAGTCACATTCCTCAATGATTTTGTCCTCACAAGCCTTCTTGCCCATCCCAAAGTCTCTCAGGTTGGTCAAGGCAAAGCGCCTCATCTCTTTCCACGAATCACCATTGGACCATAAAACCCCTGAGATGAAGTAGTTCAACAAAATATGGTAACTAAGTAGCTGAAATTGGGTAAAGGCTATAAACATGAAAAGGATGATCATTTGGAAAGAGCTCAGTTTTTGTCTTTCCTTACCATTTCCTTTACTAGCATCATGCATAAGTTGTATTGGATCTCTGTCTCCAAACTCTTCAGCATGATTAACAAGTGCCTCCTTCACTGTCTTGTATCCAGCCAGGACCACGACTTTCTTGGGTCCCAGATAGACGGTGAACACTGACCCATATTTCTTGGAAAGCTAAGAACAGGAGCAAAACAACATGGTATTTTCTTTTATAAGAAACACAAGGAGAAAGAAAACAAGGTAAAAACAAAAGACTACTGTACAAGAAAACTACTCTTATCATCACCTCCAGTAATGACTGGTAGGGTCTCTTGAGGTCCAGCTGCAGCAGATTCCCAAGCAGGGGAAGTGGTTTTGGTCCTGGAGGATCTTTCCCATCCTCCTGGGAGGTGAAGCTAGAGGATGAGATGAGGTAGACGAGCAGCAGGACCAACAGAGCCCCCAACAGGGAGAGAGAACTGGAGGACTGGAGAAAAACATCCAATATCCCCATGACGTTTACAGAAAATGCTGACAGTTTACAGATAAAATAAGTTTCCTGTCCTGCTGCTGTTAGCTTTGTGAGTGTTTAGGTAAGGAGACGTCCCTTTTGTAGCTGACAGTGAGGCCAACAGCCTAGCCCAAGGGTAGGGCTGAAGTATGGAAAAGTTCACCCACTAAAAGTAGTTGTTATCAGCACCAATCAGAACAGAGTGCTTTGTTTGTAGTTAGAGTTTATCAAGACAGGCTGGCACTGTTGTTATCTCATGTGCCATTTCGTAATGTTGAAATGTGGTCAGAAAGGGAGAGTAATTAAGTCTGTATAGAGGTTGAAGGAATGAGGTCAAGTTTAATCAGGAGCAGTTAACTCAGACCCAGTCATGCATGTGTTTTGTTGATTTTTGACTTTGTTAACACCAAAAATCAAGCAAGTGCTACAATACAAGACATAGCAATATTACTTTCTAGTCCAACAGAATGAAGGCCAGCTCATCATCTGTCTTGCAACCTTTTATTTCACAAAACTTTCGCCAACATCAGAATCAGAATCAGCTTTATTGCCAGTGTACACATACGAGGAATATGACTCTGGATCGTAAAATGCTCACGATGTGCTTACTTATACAATAACACAATAACACAGTAATTAAATCAAACAGGCTACAGTATAGAGAACACATATATACACGCTATGCACAAAACAGACAGATTGAGACAATAGTGCAATAGTGCAATGAGCAGAGTGCAAAGGATGCAGGAGTAATTTATTATTACCATTATTGTTATTATTATGTACATGTCGGAGGTCGGTGTTATATACAGGTGCACATACACGTACAAGCATACATGTACACAGTGTGATGAGTGCAAAGAATGCTGTATAAATAAATAAATAAGTATTATGTGCAGGTGTTATGTACATGAGGTAAGTGGATTTGGTATACAGTATATACATTATGACAATATGAACAGTATGAACAGGTGTGAATAGAGAATGATGACTAATTAATAAGTGGTAGCCAGTAAACAGGTGGCTGATTAGTGGCAGAGTTACTGGGTTATTCCTGACACTGTGAGTCAGCTGTTCATCAGAGTGATGGCTGTTCTTGAGTTTGTTGGTTTTGGCGTACAGTGCTTTGTAGCGCCTACCAAAGGGGAGAAGTTGTAACAGGTTGTGTCCGGGTGAGATGGATCTACAGGGATGTTTCCTGCCCATTTCCTGATTCTGGAAATGTCCTGAATGGAGGGCAGGTTGGCACCAATGATTTTTTTCTGCAGTCCTGCCTGTCCGTTGTAGTCTGCTTCTGTCCTTTTTGGTGGCAGATCCAAACCAGACAGTGATGGACATACAGAGGACAGACTGGATGCTGGCTGTGTAAAAGTGGCAGCAGCTCCTTAGGCAGGTTGAGCTTCCTGGAGCTGCCTGAATTGCCTCCTTCCAGCTATTATAGCTTATGCCAAAAAGTAAAAGCCAGGCCAATATTTACTCTTGACTGGTCTCTATCTTCTTTGCTTCCTCGCAGCCTCTACCATGATATCCATCTTTAGGATACCAACCTAGCTTCTTCCAAAGAAACTGCATCGTACCACCATGTAACATTGGAATACATCCTATTCCAATGCTAAGTAGTGCAATACCAGGTGGTCTGGGCCCGCGGAGGCAATGACAGAGAAGCCATTCTCCCTATTACAAGTCAGTGCACCATCAAAATGATTTTGAAGATATTATTTTGAGATACATTTTCTACATAATGAATCTTTAACTTTTATTTTTTTAAAGTTACATGTTTGCCTTTGTAACTTGATGTAACTGAGCTCAGTCAGACACAACGGAAACTTACTAGCTTTATAACCAATTTAATCTGTGATGTATTGCCTTAATCTATGTGGCTATTTTCAATTTAACCTCCAAACAATACATTAAATTCAACTAATTGCAGATTCTTGTATCGAAACCTTCAGATGATTCACACACAATACAAACTGTTGGACCTTCATGTTTTGGGGTCATTGTCTTGTGGTAAAGCTGAATTTTAAGCAATATTTTGTCAAACTGACGTAATTCTATAGCATGTAATGTTGATAACATGACTGGTCTAACAGTCGTGTCCAATATATACCTTAGAGGAAAGAGACACTGAAAACTGGAGCAGTGTGTTTGCTGTTATGAACTATAACCTGGTCAGCAGCATTCTGGATTCATTGAATGACTCTGTGGAAAGCAGATATGGCAACTCTTTACACATGTGGAACGAAGGTTAAACTGGAATGACTTAAGTTACGTAGATAAGAAAACAGTGGCATTGTTCATTGATTAGCCTTTTCACGCTTGAAGTGTCTCAGTCTGAATCTTGATTCTATGACTTTGTATGTTCTCTCTTTGCCTGTAGGCTCCTCAGGATGCTGCACTGTCCTCAACATCCGCCAACCTCATGAATGTATGTTGCCCTCGAAAGGACAGCCAATTAACCTAATGACCTGATCGATAATAAATCCACACATAATCTAGCACTAGGTAATAAGCTTAAGTCAGGGAGGCAAATAAGTACTCACTGTATACCATCATTGATATGAGTGGGGTGGGGAAAACAACTACTGCAATACTGCCTCCAATATAGCTATGAAGTTGAATGAACTAAAACAGTTTTAAGAAAAACTGAAAAACAAGATGGCAGGATGTGTTGCAAAATTGTTGTATTAGTTTTAGGAAGGTGTATCTAATAAATTGGAAACCATGTGTTTAGATTCAAAATGATGAACGGAGACACACAAAATGCTATTTGCTAATGGTAGTTAAACTCAGCTTCCATAATTATGTGTGTGAATTTGGTAAAAAAAATATATTGGACTTTAAATAACTGTAGTTTCACAGCTGTCATGAATCATATAATGAACTACATCTTAATGTGCAGAAATGTGGGAACCTGAACCATCACTGACACAAATGGAAAGCTTTTAGCAACAGTTACCATCCTGCTCACTGCTAGTATTGATATAACAGGACCTAAACTGATTTGTGGCCAAGTATCCACATAAATAAAACAAGATATTTACACACACACACACACACACACACACACAATCTCAGATGTATCTTTTACCTACATACTGTAAACCCTGGTAAATGATAAACTTTAATGGATGCAATTTATAACTTAGCTCTTTTGAGTTTACATAGAAAAATCCTTTTACTAAGCATAAACGAAGTTGTTCCACTGGGGCAAAGATCATTTCAATAAAAACTTTATATCAAACAGTCCTTCAACTTTGTTCTCTGTCATCCTTCACCCAGAATTATCTTGCATGATCCCGGCTTCACAAAACCAAATTGATGCATCAAACTATGTATATTTTGTGAATACTGGACCAAACCAGGACTTAAACATCGGTAAAGATTAAACTTTATATCTGTGTTATTCACCAGTAAGTAGCACATTGGAGGTGGGTTTGGACTCAAGGTTGTCCATTGTCGTCAATTCTGTTTTTGATTTTAATGGAGAATCTTTTAGTGCAACCAGTGAGTAAAGAGTGTCCAGTTTGCTGAACTCAGGATTGGCTCTTTTCATTATCGCTCTTTTCATTATCGTAGTTCCTAGTGATCGTTATTATGATTCTGATGAACAATCTGATCCATCTTATATTCATCTAAATTGCCTATGAAATTATTTTCTGTGATTTGCTGCTTCAAATCATAACACAGCATTAACATTACACAAACATAAAGTCCAGAGAAGGAAAAAGCACAGGGGAAAACATATTTGAACATATTTGTCATAAAATGCAGCAAACTGGAAGCTCTGACTGAGAACTGTAAATTGCATTTTTGTAAGTACTCTGATGTGTAATGTTTGGCATAGATACAAAACAGAGTTCCTTCTCGGCCACTGTGACTTTTCTTCAAGATATTTTAAAAAACCCTTTAGTCATTGCATTAAAGGACTGTGAATGGCTCACTGTTTGTTTTTGCAGGTTTGGCGCCCATTAATAAGTTAAAATGTGAGGAGTTCTAGTCCAGCAGCATGGGGTTTGGGAAAGTGAATGAGTAATTCTCTCTTCTGTTCCAATGGGCTAACTGTTCAGCTTCCCTCAAGTGGCTGAAAAATCATGTGCAGTTTGGCTGCTGAGCCTCACACCTGTACAGAATGATGATAACAGTCCTGTGTGCATGCAATAACCTACAGTATGTGATGTGCTGTGGAAAGGAGAACTACTTATTCAATTACTAGTGTCCTTGTATAAATCTGAAGAAATGTTTTATTGGCCTTTGTTAAATGACTTCGCTCTGTGAACACCATTCAATAGATAAGAAATTGCACTGGTCTTTAATGTGACACTACATTTGGACAGGTGTGCTATGATAAGTCTTTTAGTTTTGTAGTTTAAATAACTAAGGTAGGAAGAGAGTAGACGGTCAGCACAGATGTCACGCAGTGGGGTGGCTGCTGATTGAACACATGTTGGAGAGAAACAGAGGAGATGTTTTGATGTTTAACATTTGTTGTTATGGAATGCTGACGCTGCTGATGATACTGTGACGTTTTAGAACAACGTTTGTGTGATTTAACATGACAACGGTTCTCTCCCAACTTTAACCACATGGTTTTAATTGCAACAATGATGATGAAGGTCCCCTACCCTTAACAAAGGCATAATCTTAACCCAAACCACAATATTCCCTCCCTAAGTATTTCTTTGAACCTTGAACAGTGTGGACACACATGTGAGTGGCTGCATGATGCAACAAAGACATAAAGACATCAGTCTGACAATGTGACCTTTATAACATATTTTATTTAAACATCACATTTGAGTGCAGTGTGACAGACAAACACAGTGGAAGAGTGCAGCTCTTTCCCTTCAGTCCTTACTACTCAGGTGAGAATATGATGAGCTATTACACTTTATACTCATGTGATAGTAACAATGTAGTTGAACAACATTTGTTCATTTGATGGACTGGATGTTTTGAGATGACACAGTGCCGTCTAGTTACTGCAATGTGGTAAACATGAGGAGTTTTCTTACCTTATACTAAATGGTTTTTATTTCACCATCATTTCAACTGAAGTGATGTACAAAACTAGAACCAACAGTGTCTACAAACAATGAAACAACACAAAAACAGACTAGTGACTTAAAACCCTGCACATCTCTCTCTCTCTCTCTCTCTCTCCCTCCTCTTCTGAAGTCTAAAGTCTGAATCTGAGTATCAGTCTGAGTCAGACAGACACTCGGCTGTGGGTAGAGATGTTCTCTTTATCTGTCAGTCTCTGTCAGTGTGTTCACATGTGCACAGGTCTAACAACCTTGTTGTTGCTCACTTTTCCATCTGTAAGATCCTCTGCTACATTCACAGTTTTCAAAAACATGCAAGTTAAAATCACAGATAGTGACTGACAGATTGTCAATTTAAATGTAGACTGTTTAATATTTAGCACTGCATAATGTCTGTGAAGTTATCATTGCTACTTTAGCTGCGGGAACTGTCCAGTCAAAAATATTTTTTTATTGTTTTCAGAATTTCCAGTTTGGGTGAAGTTTATAATTGTGGCTATTGGTTTAGCAGCACTCTTAATATCCGTTGTGTCACACATCAGATAGAACTAGAGAGAACTAGCGGTGAGAGCATTCATAAATTAAACTTTCACATACAAGAAGGTTTATAAACCTGAATTTTCACTGTTGAAGCTAAAGTCAAGTCTCTTTTGTCTCTTCAAAGAACAAAACAGATGGATAAAAACACGGTGACTTTAAAAAATTAAAAGTTTGTATAATTATGACTTTTACCATTACAGACTAAATGGAGATGCAATTAAGAAAAAATATGATATTTTTCTATCCTCGCCTGGTAAAATAATCTATATTTTAATTCAATAAACCATCAACACCATCATAAGATACGATGCAACTGTTTATATTCTAATACACCTGGAATGCAATTGTAACTATAAATGTGATGAAAATAAACTAAAAAACAGCAGTTATCATACAATATTTTAAATATATTCATGTATAATGTTTAAATGTTGACTTTTATTGGGGGTTATCTTTAAAACACTAAAACCACATTCTGAGTTACACAAAGCTTCCAAAACATTGAAATATTGATAAAAACAGTGCATATTGATCAATATTCCTTCAACAGAAAGCACTCATCTGCTTTACAGGCCTGTAGCTTGAGAACGGAACATCCCACAGGGATGGGAGGCATCAATCGATCCGGCTTGAGCAGACCTTTCATTTGATCCCCTGGATGTCTACTTCCCTCTGCGGAAAAGGCAGAGAAGGCAGGCACACAGCTCCCAGGTATTGCACAATATCCAAAATGTTGGCCGGGATGTTTTTAGTAACAATTATGCTGATTTTTGGACTGGAAACGGCGAAAACTGCAAAAGTAAGTCAGCGGCTTGTTGTTACTTTTATCCAGCTAATTAGTCTGTAGACAGTTTACAACGATGTTAATGTGAGAGCTCCAGTAACTTAGCCCACTTCGGCGCATTTTGTGAATCACACTAGGTGTATCTTTTATGGAAACGGTAACATGAGATCTGAATTTACATTGTAGTGTTTTCATGCAGGATACAGATCGTTTGTGTTCATTTGTGCTGAAGCAATCTTATTTGTAATCTGGTTGAACATTTAACTGTCTGTGATAATACTTTGTTGGTCACTGAACCTTTCATGTAAAGTAATAATTAATTTCAGTTTGACAGTTTGCACATTGTGACAGAATTATTGTGGCTATAATCCCGTTTTACAAGGAAGTTAGCCCAGTCGTAAACGTAAGACAGTTAACAAAGCAGCAGATCAAGCCGATATTCATTCAAGACTGTCTTTGTGTTATATTTACAGCGAAGTAAATTGAAACTGGCACCTGAAACCACCGTGTCTTCTTTTCGGGTGTAACAACAGCAACATAAATATTAAATGCACCTTTTTTGGTGCTGAGCCAAAAACAGCCATGCATTTATTTTCTCACTGCCCCTCCTATATGTGTTTTGGAGGGCCATAGTAACTGTTAAAATTCAACCTATATACATTATTACTAAATTCTGATGTAATAATAAACCTTGATAGATCTTGTACATGCAGCTGGTAAATCTTACCTGCATACACATACATGCAAGATTATCTATCTATTAAGTCCTTCCCAAGCCAAAAATGTCCAGATAATACAGGGTTAAGTTGACCAAAAGAAAGTGTGAAAAGTCATATTTATGTGTCAGAAAAACTAATCTCAGGGAAATAATTTTCTTTTGACATAGGAGTTGTTTCATAAGTCTAAAAAGCTCAAACATGATGTTTTCTAGCCACATTTTGAACTGGGAATAGAACATTATAGAAAAAACTGTAGCATTCAGTATCTACAGCCCTAGAAAGCTTAAACACTGATGCACTGTCAAAGCCTCACGGTAGATGGGGCTATAGCCCCACAAAGATGTTATAAAAATGTTATAAACTAAACCCTGAGTTCAGATGTATAACTTCAGATGGATTAAAATGTTTAAATATGGTAGTGGTAGCCTCAGTGTTGCGCTCTCTGGTACCTTTTCTGTTTTTGTTGCCCTTTTTTTTCACCACATTTCACTGAACTGAAAGGTTTTCCTGAGATTTTAGGTGGAGAAAAAATCATTATCATAAACAGAAAAAACGTTAGAACTGAATCACCACAGGGACGGAAGTGTGTTGTGGATTTGGTTGAATGGGTAGTTTCCCCTTCAAAATTCAACAACCCTTATATGCAGGTTCCTGCTGTAAGAGAAGTTATTTTTATTATTTGACCAGGAGTTTCTGCTGGGGTGGTGATGGGGCAGTGGATAAGACACATGCTGTTCAATACCCCACTGTGACACATCCACTAATGTGTACCTGAGCAAGACACTTAACCCCTAGTTACTCCAGAGGCGTGCAACCTCTGAGATATATAGCAATTGCAAGTTGCTTTGGATAAAAGCATCAGCTAAATAAATAAATTTAAATGTAATGTAAAGAAGGAGTTTGATCATTAGTTCAGTCAGAGCAGCAGATTCTCTCCACATCATCTGTGGGGCTGAAACACATCAGTGGCTCATGTTTTTTTCACCACACTGAACCACAGCTTCCTCTGCTGTTGCTGTATTTTTAGAAAATAACCTCCTGTTCTTTTCAGCTCATTTTCACGCACCTCTGCATCATACATGCTCAGTCCCTGTTTCCCAGGGTCTTTGCCAGGCTGCTGTAACATCTAACCTCTTTACTGTGCTGTAAATAATGGTAATTTGCTTCTCAAATTGCTGATTATCATTGCTAATGAATTAATAATCTACTTAGTGTTACTTGTTGTGGATAAGTAAATAAATGTAAAATTAAACACAGTCTTTGGTGATTCAAATTCAAGAATTCAGGGAAATAAAAAGTTGAGAGATGAAAAGCTAAATCCACGTACATAAATTCAGCAAGAGAGAAAGAATAGGCTGAAAAAAGTTGACAGTGACAATGAGGAAGTGACATGTTACTCATCACAGGAACTACTCTTACAGTTAATAGCTCAAAAGGGACAGTAAAAAGAGGCAGAGAAGCACAATGTTTGAATTCAGAGGGATTAAAATGTCTTTATTTCTGATATTGGTGCTTCATCTTTCAGGTAAGGATACATAAAACATGAACAGAAATACAGTGACTTTTATTTAACTTAATAAAGTCTGTTAAGTTTTGTAAAATTTGGAAACAACGGATGAGACATGTTTGCAAACTTAAGCTGTAAAATTGTCCTTACATTAACCCACATTCAAGTTTCATTATATTTTTCATTTTCTTCTTATATTTTCAACAGCAGTGACTGGACAACATCCCCCCAGCTTTGTTGTCAGAGATGGATATGAAGTCACTTTGCCTTGTGGAAATGTGATATATGGTCAGGACAATTGTGACGATATAATCTGGCTCTTCAGTAGCTCAAGAAGCATAGGTTCAGTAGAGCTGATTCTACGGGGGCAGATTAGTGAAAACGCCAAAGCTAAATCAGACAGACTGAGTGTTGCAGAGTACTGTTCTCTGGTTATAAAGAATGTCACAGTCGAGGATGTTGGTTATTACACCTGCAGACAGATCAAATCAGGACAAGACTCTCATGTTTATCTGTCTGTTATTACCAGTGAGTATTTCCATCATAATGTTTTCAGCTCAAACTATCTTGTTAGAACAATATACTGAAACATTACAATAATTATGATCACATTGATGAAGTTAACTTTACTCTTGTTGTCTTTCTCTCACAATATCTCCATCTTCACCAGTGACTGAACATAAGGACACTGAGGAGGTGACGTTAACCTGCTCTGTGTCGACAGATGGACAGTGTGAACACACAGTGAAGTGGCTGTATGAGGGTAAAGAAGTGGATAAAGATAGCAATGACATGAAGACATCACAAACTGACTGCTTAGATACTGTGACGTTTCTTACCTCTTATCTCAAGAAAAAGTCACAGTATAACGCGTTTAAGTGTGAAGTGACAGATGGTTACTCAAAAGTGCAGCTGTTTGACTTTAGATCTCAATCATCGGGTGACCAAACATGTGAGAATATGGTGAGCTGTTTAAAAGCACCTTAAACTAATGTGTATAATCACAAAGTAGGCTATATTTGTGTACTTGATAAATTTAAAGATTTCTGAATATATCATTCTCTGCAGATTGTATTTTTCAACATACAATTTCTTTGGTTTTGTTATTTTACATTTGTCCAGGTGAGGTGGCAACAACAACAATAAGAAACACTAAAAACGGAAACAAAATATCAAGGCCCACTATAACAGTGCCTGCCAACAGCAATACTCCATCAATAAACGGTAGTGACTCAATATTCTGTGTATCTCTTTCAAGAATTTCTTTGTCTTTCAGTCTTTTAGCTTTTGAAGCCAAAACTTTAAGTGTCAGACGCGTACTTGCCTGTAGGTGGAGATAATTTCTTCTCATTTAGCGAAAGGATTTTGAACAGACCTGAAAGCTGCAGCCAAAATGTTTAAAATGTTTTTATTTTGCTTTCCAGGTTGGTGGCTGTACATCATTGGGGCTATAGGTTTAGTGGTACTCTTAATAATAATTGTGACATGTGCCATTAGATGGAAGAGAAGTAAAGGTGAGAACATTCACAGATGAAACTTTCACCAATGAGAAGTTTTGAAGCAGCTGGATTTTCACTGTGGAAGCAAAAAGTTGACTTTCTTTTATCTTTTCAGAAGACAAAACACAGACAGATAAAAGAAAAAAAGTTTAAAACTGGATGATCAAACATTGGTGCAATTGTGACTTTACTGAGCAAACCAGGCAGTTTGTTGTTGTTCATCGCAACTTGGTGTTTAGTTGGAGAGAGAGACTCCAGTACTGACTGCGATGTACTAAAGTTCCACGACAATTTTAAGTGGAAGAATATATGTTAAACAATCGAATAGGAACAAAGAATACAAGGAATAGTTCAATATTTTGGTAAATACTTGTTTTCATAACAAATAGCAAAAAATAACAAGTGGCAACCTTTGACTGTGACACAAGTGAGAAGTGTGGAGGGGCAGGAGGGGATCACCTTGATTTAGCGTAAAAACTGGAAGCAGAGGGAAACAGTTAGCTCAGATAAATATCTTTTTTGTATGAGCCATAAAGAACTTGATGGACAACATATATCTGCTCAGCACATAAACTTAGGCCGTGATGACAAGAACCCAGGAAGTTACAGCACTAAATTGTTGTTTGCCAAGAAATAGTTACAACACATTATTCACTCTCTAAAAGCACAAATTGTGATTTTTATTTATGGAAATGTGAACTGTGTTTGTCCAGGGACAGAGTTTAATCCATGCAGTGACTGAGTCTGCTCCAGAAACCAGCCAGGACACGGTGAGATCTCACACTACACCCAGTAGAAAAAGCCTCACTGTTAAGTGTGTTTGTTCTATGAAGTATTAACGACATGAGACACAAACTGACTCCTGAGTTAGATTTTATTCTGCAAGAGAGAATAAAAAGGGAAGGAAGATGATGCCAGTTACACCAGAATAGAGCAGAAACATGTGAAGCATTAAGGTATGAGTGTGAAGTGTAGGGTGCGAAGAAAAATATCAAGTTGTTATGTATACTCTCAAGTCCACATGTTACTGAGCAGCCATTATGTTGTCTTCTCTGTGTAGGCTGATCCTGAAGATGGTGTTTCCTACGCCTCCATCAGCTACACCAGGAAGACCAACAGTAAAGGCCGGGTAAGCTGTCTGATTGGTTGCACTTGTGATGTTATTGAATGAACACAAAACAAGTGAAGAGCAAACAACATATCCAATTTATTTTTGTCTTTAAAGTGGCTATCATTGATATTTTTATAATTACATTGTAAAGTTCAATTCAATTCAATTTTATTTATATAGCACCAAATCACAACAACAGTTATCTCACAACGCTTTTCATAGACCGTACTGTGATGTTATTTACAGAAGCCCAACAATTCCCACCAAGAGCAAGCACTAGGCGACAGAAGCAAAGAAAAACTTCCGAGCCATCTGCCTCGACCGGTTGGGGGTGAACGAGAGAGAGAGGGCGAGAGAGAGAGAGAGAGAGAGAGAGAGAGGGAGCGGGCAAGAGAGGAACAGAGAAAGAGAGAGAGGGATGTAAGGAGAGAGAGGGGAGGGAGGCAGCCTACACAATATACACACAGAGAAGTACAGGCAGTAAAGGTGATGTTGCTATAGACTAAATGAAAAATGGTACAGATATTTATAGTAGTGTTAATGATAACAGTCGTAATGTTAATGATTATAATAACAATAATAATAATAATAATAGGACTAGTAACAATAGTTGTTGTAACAGAGGGTATCGAGCAGGAACAAGGGGCAGCAGGTGACCCGCAACCACAGATCCAGACTCCACAGCTTCAGAGCCAGAAAAAACAAAGAGAGGAGAGGGACAAGAAAGCACAAGACTACCGGAAGGGAGACGTTGTGTTAGTAACATGCAATAATGGGATGAGGTTGCATACAGAGGGAGAGGAAGTAGAGGAGAGAGGAGCCCAGTGCATCATAGGAAATCCCCCGGCAGTCTAGGCCTATAGCAGCAAAGGTGTCGTAGTGATGAAACTACAGAGATTAAAACCTGATTCAGCAGATCCCTTCAGTGTTATGGAGCTTTATAGTGAGTTTCAGCTCATTTGTCCTCCTAAAACTTTAAACTGATGATCAAACTACTGTTTTGGTTCACTCTCACTGCTCTCACAGTGTTGTTTTTGGTCCCAGCACGCAGCTGTTTTCACTACCTGCTCAGCTCCAAACAGCAGACAGACACAGTAAGTGACTAGCCGGTGAACATAGTGGAGCATTTAGCAGCTAAAGAGACAGATATTTCCCTCAGGAGTTAGCAGAGACCAACAGTGAATAATAATGCTGCTCTGTAACTGCTGGATGTATAAATAAACCACTGCTACCAGGTTCACCATTATTAATTATGGTGGTAATGTCGCAGTGGATAAGACACATGCCCTTGGTGTGAGAGACTGAGCTTCGAATCCCACTGCGACACAACCACCAACGTCTCCCTGAGCAAGACACTTAAACCCTCATTGCTCCAGAGGCGTCTGACCTCTGACATATACAGCAATTGTAAGTCATTTGGATAAAAGCGTCAGCTAAAAGTATGTAATGTAATAACCAGTCATAATCCACAGAGGATAAATCCAGAGGTTTTGTTGGTGATCCCCTCACCTTTTCACTATCAGTCCGTCTATCTATTTTTTTCCCACCATCAGACCAACATGTCAACTTCACACACAAGACCTGATAGTGTTTTAATTGGCAGATAAAAGCTGCAGAAAACTGAATATTTCAGTTGTTAGATGGCAGCAAAATCAGGACTTTCAGAACTCTTTATCTGTACGTGTCTGTATTTATGTGTGCTGCTGTTACTCTCTTCTCAGGAACGGGTTAAAAATGATGATGCTGATGAAGATGATACAGTGACCTACAGTAGTGTGAAAGTTTCCTCTTCTTCTGCTGGAGCCTCTGCTGATCCCAGCAACCTCTACGCCACCATTAATAAACGAAATAAATAAGAGACCACAGTATCTGAGAACCATTTTACCGATATTCACTGGCATTTTGCAGTTCACTGGCATGATGTCTATGAAGATTCTCAGTCATCCAGGTCATAGTTATCCAACGAGGGTTAAAATGAAGGGCAACTGGACTTGGTTGAAGCTACTGGAAGACGTTTCGTCCCTTATCCAAAGGACTTCTTCAGTTCTGACTGACTGGCAGGGAAACTCAGCTATTTAACCTCAGTGGGGTCGTTATCCCGGGTCATCGATACCGCTGGTTCGTTAGTGTTCCTTGTTGCTGTGACGACAGTCGTTACAGTCGTTGAGACTACCTGTGGCCAAGACTGAACGACCATCGTTGGTATCTTCACCTGAGGCCAATAGGTTACGTTTGTTGAGTTTCCTGGGAAGTGATGAAAGGACAGCATTGTAAGTGGGGGATAAGTGGTGGCGTAGACCCCCTCCCCTGTTCAATGACGGCTTCTCAACCCTGGTGTAGATGCTTCCTTGACACCTCTTTCAAACCATCCATCTTCTCTGTCTAAAATGTGCACCTGTTGGTCCTCAAACGAGCGTCCTCTGTCCTTCAGATGTAAGTAGACTGCAGAGTCTTGACCTGAGGAGTTGGCCCTTCTGTGTTGAGCCATGCGTTTGTGTAGTGGTTGTTTAGTCTCCCCAATATACAGGTCTGTGCATTCCTCACTGCATTGGACCGCATACACTAGATTGCTTTTCTTGTGTTTGGGTGTGCGGTCTTTGGGGTGTACCAGTATCTGTCTTAGTGTGTTCTTGGGTTTAAAAAACACAGGGATGTTATGTTTGTTAAAAATCCTCCTGAGTTTCTCTGATACTCCAGACACGTATGGAATCACAATGTTGTTGCGATTGACCTTCTTTTCTTCATCCCCTGTAGTTTTGTTCTTCTTGGATCTTGTGGCTGTTTTCACAAAGGTCCATTTAGGGTATCCACAGGCTGTAAGTGCCCCCTTCAGGTGGTTCTGTTCCTTCTCTCTGGCTTGGGCGCTTGTTGGTATGTTTTCCGCTCTGTGGTGCAGTGTTCTCATGACCCCTAGCTTGTGCTCCAGTGGGTGGTGTGAATCGAAGAGTAGGTATTGGTCTGTGTGTGTGGGTTTTCTGTAAACACCAATCTGCAGGCTCCTGTCCTCTTCAATGTGTACAGCGCAGTCCAGGAAGGCCAAACTGTTGTTGTGAACATCTTCTCGTGTGAACCTGATGTTACTGTCCACAGAGTTGATGTGTTCTGTGAAGGCTTGCACTTCCTGGCTTTTGATTTTGACCCAGGTGTCGTCCACATATCTGTACCAGTGGCTCGGTGCTATTCCTCTGAAGGAGTTGAGGGCTTTATTCTCCACTTCTTCCATGTAGATGTTTGACGAAACGTCTTCCAGTAGCTTCAACCAAGTCCAGTTGCCCTTCATTTTAACCCTCGTTGGAACACTGGCATGATGTTTCTCTGTTATACTGTGCATGACTGAGGAAGAATGTTTTATGTGTTTTATGTTGAGTCCAACGAGGCTTGGCACAGATACGTAGTATTATTTACTAATTTATTAATTGAGCTTTTTTTTTTTTGTAGCCTATTCATTTTTGATTGTGGCAGACATGGTCCTCCATAAGAAACAGGCTCACAAAATAAAATTAAAACCGGCTCTGCTCTTTGCCATGGTGTGAGAGGAAAACAAAGTTTTGAAAAATAACTTTGAGATTCAAACAGCAGTGTAACACACATTTGGATATTTCAGCCCTGCTTTAAACAATACAGCTCATATCATTGTATTTTTACCATTTTACAGTGAGAACTGTAATAGTTAAAGTGCTCTGATGGGAAAACCAAGTAATTTTTTTGATACCATGACTGTGACCAGAACTTTCAGATTACACTCTACTGTCTTCTTGATGATACTGTGTTGAGTCCTGCAGGGAAATGGTGTTAAGACAAGCTCAGATTTCATTTTAAAATAAATAAACAACTTTAACTACTAAAGAAGTGATTCCTTTTCGTTATGAATGTATTTATGATCATTTCCACGATGTATTATTGTAAAACATTTTTTGTCCAGAAGGGGGTGTAGTAGGTATTATTACCAGTATTATACACTCTATGGTAATATAACCCAGCGTTCATATGGTTGCAACACATTTGGCTTGATGAACTAGTTTGTTAATTGTGCTCAGTGATGAATGTTGGGTTAGGTTTTCAATGCTATTGTATTTTTTGTTTTATTCGAATTGTTATCAATTGTTGTTTTTTTTAATATTGATGTGTTTTCAGTTTTCTTTGTATGTCCTGTTAGTGCCCAGATATCCCTTATTGAGATTGTGTTGTGGCCCCAGGACTGTGAAATAAACATCCCACTTTCATTAGATCATCCCCGACAACTGAGACTTTCAAATCTCGTCTTATTTTTATTCTTTGGCGTTTGAGTCAGTCTAGGGCAGGGCTCGGCAAATACGTCTGGCATCGGGCCACATTTTTTTCAAGCTATGGGCTATATGGCGGGCCAGAACAAAGTCAATTTATTTCAAATCCTTGTATACTCATGTGAATGTTAAGCTCAGTAGGTACTGTGCGGGACTCCCTTTAGGAAGATCATTTCCAATTAACTGCGTATATTTTCCCCCCTTATTAAACTAATTCATTATAAGGACAGTTTTGCATATGCTCACAATAGCATGCTGTAGCATGTGTACGCCCGGCATTTGATCCGCATTCATAAACCTATGGACGCTTATTTTTGTGAACGGTTTGTGATCGTTGGCTGGATGAATATTACGCATGATCCATGTACTACTGCAACTGGGCCACGCAACTTTCTACATTCTTCCCAGAGGTGTGTCAAGCAGGCCAGAGACTCTTTTGAATGTCCTTCAGAACTCTTCAAAGTAAAAGCTTTCAATAAACTCAACATAAAGCATAGCTGCAATAAACGTTCTTGCGCTTTTATTTTGCAGCCACAATAACTTAAGAGGAAGTGCATTCATGCTTATCTGTCCTGGTTGCTTCATATTTCTATTTACTGCTGTACACTTCATCATTGTCATATGTTTCATTATTGCTGTAGGTTCCTTTTTTATCTGATTGGTGTCCTTTTTTCAGGTTGTAGTTTTACTTGCATTCTTTGCATGCTTTTTACAGCACTTTATTCAACAGTGGTTCTTTTTAAATGTGCTTTATAAATAAACTAACTTGCAGCATTTTAGCTGTTCAATCGATTTTTTATCTGGAAATGAGCTCTAACTCAGTATATAAATACTGAATGTCCTAGTTCGTTCTTGAAAAACTTAAATAAATGAGTAGGTACTCATATAAATTAAAACATTACCAAAAATTATTTTCTTCTCAGGCTAATTTGCGAGTCCTTCGCCATCATACATGTTCATTCCAGCACGTGGAAGCAGGAACTCATCACATATGGACGCTTGACCCCTTTGGCATTGCTTTGTAATGCTTTGTTTAGGTAGTAGATCTACTTTTAGATTAGAAAAGATAATTTCCTGATGTATATGGTAGCCTGTAATTTACAGCTATACAGGGGGACAAAATGTACTGACTAAAACACAGTGTCTTTGATAAAAGGTTAATGAAATGATGGTCATCTGTTCATTCCTATGAAATTCTAAGGAAGCTGTGGGGGTGTTACTTACCCTGATGTGATTTCACAGATGATCTGCTCGGAATAGACTGATGACCAAAGCTATTTAGTCACACTTAAAGAGCGTTAAATTAGGAAATACATCACCGACAGCAAGACCATGTATGAGTTTGTAACTAAAGTAGGATGTTGTAGTATGTGGTGTAACTTAAAATACATCATTTAAGTTAGTTGACTATTTGTTTTACAGTGGAAACAAACACTCTTAGGTGAAAGCAGAGTGTCTAACCCATCCAACCACCTCAAGCTACAAGGACTTCTGAGGTATTTATTCTAGGCCTACTTGTAGTGTTCAACGATGATGCTGAGGGGCCCAGTGTATTAAAAAGTTTTGCTTATAGGTGTTAAGGCCACCTCCTTTGTCTGTGTATAGGCCTATGTATCTGTGTTGTGCAGGTGTGTGTTATGTTAAGCAGGATGTGCGAACCCTTGCCGAGAATTGGCTGGCGCGAGACCTGCCTACTTCATGGTTCCGGCCGGTGATCTGATTGGTGCAGCGTCTGGCAACCTCCTCCAGTCATCTACCGCCTTCCAGATCATCCCCTGTCTAAATAGCAGCCTACCTGTGTGAACTTGGCAGTTGTGATTTTCCCCTTGATCAACTCGCCTCGTTCGTATTGTGCTCTATAGTGGTAATTGTGTTAACTGCTGTAGAAGCATTAGTTCTTAGTGTCTGTGTGTTACCTTTACTGTGAATTGTGTTAAGGAAGCAGGGCAAGTACCTTAGTGAGGGATTACTTATATCAACCAGACACCTGCAGTTAAGTTTGTTAGAAACACTAAGCTTAGAGGGTGCTGCTCATTTTGTATTTTGTTTCTTACTGGACAAGTCAGAGTTTTGTTTAGTTTCATTTTGGAGTAGCAAGTGGCTCTCTCTCAGTTGGAGAGACCTCTTTAAGTTATATTTGTGTCTTTGATTTAAGCAGCATCCACCAGCCCTTTTCCATTCTGCATGTAAACCCTGTCAACAATAAAGAACTTGCACTTTTACCAAAAACATTCTGGTTCATGTTGCTTCCCTTTCCCGACAAGCCGGGTCGTAACATAGATCTTGACCAATCATCCACATGTGATGACTTGGGAGTAGCAGTGGGTTGAAGCTCTAGCCATAATGATAATGATGATAATAATATAACACGGCATAGAGTAAAACAAACCCAGTCACTCAAGGAGTGTGGGGCATCACTGCCACAGGTACAGAGAGCATCCTGTAATCGGGTTTTGGTTTAAATACAGGTTACCAAATGGAACACATGACCAAGATATTCACTTCTGCACTCCTTTCTTGCCATCCTAACATAACAATGAGCACCTGACCTAGCTAACTGATGTTTTGGGAAAACTGTAAGGTGGCAGTGGAGTGGAGGTGGGAGTCTGCAGGGCAAATTAATCAGAGAACAGGAAACATCCAAGTGTATGACTGTGAAAACACATAATAGTGATTGGATGGATGGGATTAAGTGGGAGGTGAGAGTGGAGAGGCTGCACTGCAGGGAAGGAAGCCTCGGCTTCACTGAACTTCATTAAATTTCCAAGGGGTCTTCCCCAAAGTTTGAATAAAATATTTACTCTCTCGCTTCACACACTTCCTCAGAAACAAAATCAGCAAATTACCAAGTGGTGAATTAGTGACCATCTGTAAAATCAATCTGTGTATTCAAGGAGCCATTAGACACTGACAGACACAGACAGCAGAATGTCTGGTTTCAGACAGACTGACGTTTCATTATTTCTGATGGTACTGCTTCATTTGACATGTAAGAAAGTATTTAAAAATGTACATACAGTACATTTGTTATTATTCATCAAAAACAACACATTTTGTTAAAACAACATAATATTCTGCTCTTATTTCCTCCACAGCAGTAACAACAATATTCCACATCTGGTTATAAAGAAGGTCACAGTCAAAGATGCTGGTCCTTACTTTTGTCAATAATGCAAAAAAAAAAAAAAAACTAGGTTAAGATGTTGAGGTTCATCTGTCTGTTATTAACAGTTAGTGTTTACATCATTTAGCTGACGCTTTTATCCAAAGCGACTTACAGTTGCTATAAATGTCAGAGGTCTCACACCTCTGGAGCAACGAGGGGTTAAGTGTCTTGCTCAGGGAAACAATGGTGGATGTGTGAAGAACTGAACCCGGGTTTCTCACACCAAAGGCATGTGTCTTATCCACTGCCCCACCACATCATAATTAAACTGTCTTGTTAGAAGTTGTAATATAATGTCTTTTTCTCGCAACATCTCCATCTTCACCAGTGACTGAACATAACAACACTGATAAGGTGAGGTTTACCTGCTTTATGTAGACATATGAATGATGTCGACTCAGTGAAGTGATTGAAATACATTGCAGACTGGGTGCTCAGTTACTGTGACGTTTCGTACCTCTCATCTCAAGCAGAAGTCAAAGTATCATGAGTTGATGGTTACAGCGGAAAGATTCAGCCCTCAGTCTTCAGGTGAGAAAACAGGTGTGTGACTTAACTGCCACCTGCCTAAACTAAATGCTCAATTCAGTATCAGAGGTTAAATTATCATCATTGTCTAAATGCCGAAATGTCTAGTAGGTATAAAAAGTTTTCTGTGCAGGAGATGGCTTCAGCTGACTCGCTCTGAAATCTTGAGGTGGGGAATGTTGCAGGAAACCACGGTGGAAATGAGAGAGAAGAGTTTCTTTGTACAGAGGAACTGCTAGAAACACGTCTCTTCAACACAACAAACTCTCGCTCTCCAACTCTCACGTTTCTACCGTTCTTCTGTCTTCCAGCAATAACTCACCTCTCACGAGATTTCAGAGTGAGAATGGTCCTTGAGCGAGACTTCTGTTTCTGGTTAAACTGTCACAGAGAGAAGAGAGTTTTGTCGTCAGTCAGACCAACAGATTCCTTTCACATCATCTATTTGCCCGGGAACATATCTGAAAACGCATCAGTGGCTCATTTCCTTTGTCTCCACACTGAACCACATCTGCTTTTTGGCTATTAAGATTTCTACAAGAAATGAATTGAAAGAGATTAAAAGCTGATTGACTCCGCCTACATAAATTCAACAACTGAAGGAATGAAAAAATATTGAATTCAATATAAGGAAGTGACACTTTACTAATAACAGGAAGTAAATGCTGTACCTCTCTAAAAGAAGCACTATGGTTCAGAGACGTGACAGTTGAGGACGCAATAACGAGAGAGAGAGAAAAATGGTTAGATTCAGATGGATAAAAACGTCTTTATTTGTGATACTGGTGCTTCAGTTTACAGGTGAGGATTCACAAAACATACATGAATAAATAAAAAAAACATTACTAATAGTATTTTAGTAATTAATATGAATTTATTTTTGACAGCCAGGTTTACTGTTTGTTTTGAACATGGTGTGTTGAGTGGATTACCGTTTGTTGTATTTAATGTTATTGTTACACACAACTATCAACATAAGAGCCATATTCTTATCACAGTTAAGTTTTTATATTTATCTCTCATCTTCAACAGCAGCAACTGGACAGAACCTCTCCTTCACTGTCAGAGTTGGAGATGAAGTCATTTTGCATTGTGGAAATGTGATACAAAATCAGGATAATTGTGACGGGACTTCCTGGTTGGTCAGTCGTGATATTGGGGCAGCAGCAACAGAGCTGATTATACATGGGAAGATCAGTAAAAATGGGATTTCCGAAGCTAAATCAGACAGACTGAATGTTACAGCAGAATGTTTTCTGGTTATAAAAAATGTTACAGTCGAGGATAATGGTCGTTACACCTGCAGACAGTTCAACAAATCAGGACAACAACATGGTCCAGACTCTCTGGTTGTTCTGTCTGTTATCAACAGTGAGTATTTACATCATAATGTTTTCAAACTGTCTTGTTAGAACAATATACTGAAACATTACAATAATTATGATCACAGTGATGAAGTTAATTTTACTCTTGTTGTCTTTCTCTCACAATATCTCCATCTTCACCAGTGGAACAATATCAGAACAATGATACAGTCGGCTTCATCTGCTCTGTGTTGACATATGGAAAGTGTGAACACACAGTCAAGTGGTTGTATGAGGGTAATAAGAACCACACGGTGACACAGGGTTCCTGTTCAGCCTCTGTGGTTTTTACAGCTCCTCCTCTTAGTCAGAAGTCAAACTATTGTGAGTTACTGAAGTGTAACGTGACAGATAATAAGAGTGGACAGATGCTGCTGTGTAGCGTTGACCTCCAGTCCTTGTGTGAGAAAACAGGTACATTTAATTTCATTAGATGAATTTTAAGTTTGAAGATTAGAACATTATTATTTCTCATTTAGTGTCTTCAGATGTTAAACATGAAGTATTTTATCTCCGGTTGTTGTGTTTTGTTATTTCATATAAACAAATCCCAAAGGAAGCACATTGAGGGGGAAAAACAAAACACCATCTGGAAAGGGTGAAACTACAACAAAACCAGGTAGTGACATCTCTCTCTCTCTCTTTTTAAGTCTAAAGTTTGAATGACAGAGTGACACATGGCGGTGGGTGGAGATATTCTCTTATTCACAAGTCTGAGTTTCAAACCTTTCTGTTGGTATCTCTTGTTTGCTGGTGTTGGTTGACTTTGCAATAGAAATGACATTTATTTTTTAAGGGTTTCCATAAGAGGTAAGTTAATGTTATGTAATGTTTTATTAAAGTTTTATTTTTATGTTGTACTCATATCGTGAAAACTGTCAACATCTTATTGTAAGTATCTTCATCATTTGGTTAAATTTCTTAAAGACACTATTTTTAAAACATGCCAAGTAAGAATTTAGACATGATAGATGTGGAAACTAATAAATGTAGATTTGTACCAACTGAAAAAGTACTTTGTACTATGTACTTTTTTTAAAGATTATTTCTCATATTTTAGGTACATGATGTTAAACAGAACATAAACTGCAGGAAAAACATTTGTTATGTTCTAATTCTCCTTCTAGATATGTGGCAATTCATCGTTGTGGCTGTGGGTTTAGCAGCGCTCTTAATAATCATTGTGGTTGTCATCAGATGGAAAAAGGCTAAAGGTGAGATCATCCACATATGAAACTGTTGTTGAATAAGTTTCAATAAACCTGGTTTTCCACAATGGAAACAAAAAGTTGACTCTTTTTTGTCTTTTCAGGGAACAAAACAAAAATGGATGAAAACATTGTGAGTTTTAAACCTTATTAAATATCCAATTTAGTTTAAAGGGAATATATGGAGAAAAACACTGAAGAAGGTATATGTGACAGATATACAGACGCTATTTTAGAGAATGGCACATCAATATATTCTATAATAAGTATTCATTGATTTAAGTGAAAAACTCTTATCTAGACTGTATTTTTCCAGCGACTGAGCTTAAACCCTGCAGTGACTCAACCTGGTCCAGAGACCATGCAGGACATGGTGAGATCACACACCGCAACCAGTACAAAGTTACACTCATTCTTATATATATTTGTTCTCCTTCTGCAACAGAGAAAAAGAGAAGTAAAATTATGCAACTAATCCAGAATGCCCACATGCTACTGAGTGTTGTCTTCTCTGTGTAGACTGATCCTGAAGATGGTGTTTCCTACGCCTCCATCAGCTACACCAGGAAGACCAACAGTAAAGTCCAGGTAAGCTGCATGGTTGATAATACACGTGTTGATGGTGGATGAAGAAACTAACAGTCAATACCATGATGCTAACATGTTCACAATGACAATGCAAACATGCTGATGATTAGTGGGTAAAATCTTTGCAGTGATCACTATCTTAGTTCAGCATTTTTGAATGTTAAGATTTGCTAAAGAGCTAAACACTTAGTACAACTGAGGGTGAGTCATTAGTTTTTGGTCAGAAATATTGGAGAAGATAGCACTAAAAGTTAAAAGACCATTGCTAATAATCTTCCTGAGGGGATATGAGTATCTGCACCATATTTAATTAATCCATCCAATAATTGCTGCTTTGCGTTGTTGTCATTTATTGTTTTGGATTACAATGTGCTGAATTATGTTGCGCCACATACTGTTGTGTATATTATGTGTCGTGCTGGGTTGTCTGTTATTTCAAAGGTTTCTGTTAAGGATGATCATGATGAAGATGATGCAGTGACCTACAGCAGCGTGAAAGCTTCCTCTCCTTCTGCTGGAGGCTCAGCTGATCCCAGCGACCTCTACGCTACCGTCAACAAACCAAACAAAAAAGAGGACGTGGTATAGTTACATCTCATATCAGTCCAGTTACTGATAACTAAAAATAAAACCAAATCAGTTTTTATTCAGCGAGTGCTTCATTCTGTGTTAATGATATTTATTGATACCTTTAGCAAAATTGTAAATGCAGTCAGTCCTGGAGAACATTTAATACTTATTTACTATAAATGTTTATAATTAATCCAAATGCCCCCACCAGAGTAATGACATTGTTATTGATACATGAAGAACTAAGACGATAATTTGAAGCTCAGCTGCATCTGGTTGTTGTTTCAGCATTACATATTGTACTTTTTCAGTTCTTTCATGAACATGTGACCACATTTTTTCTGTTACAAATATTTTTAGGACCGTTTTCAAGATTGATTGGTGTAACAAATCTTTCTGTAGTAGGTTAACTAGTAGTATAATGGATAAAGTAGAAGTAACAACATATGGCTGGTTTCTGTCAGGCACATGCATCTATGGGAAACTTTAAGGTGCCCGTTACTTTATCATCCTTTAGACACAGACTTTTCTGTTCAGGGGATCAGTATATGAAATCCTTACCCACAGAGCTTAAATGGATCATGACTGGCACATTTAAAGAGGGATCTGTCATGAATGGTCTGTTTCTTGTTATTGAGTTTTTATTGTAATGTTTGTGTTTTGTCCTGTTTTGTTCTTATTTTCTTGCTGAGTTTCTTCCCCATAAAATACACATTAAATGAATAAACTTATGTGATAGTGTTCATAGTTAATGTTTTTTGTTGTTGTTATTGCATTTTCTTTACTTTATCACATGTAATTATTTCATTCACAGTATTTGAACATTTAGATGGCTTATAGAATTAGAAAAGATGCCGAGAGGAAGTGGGTTGTGACCTCCTTTATCTACACTGAATCACCCATGAGAGTCGTGTTAAACAAGTGAATGAGTGGAAACAGAGGAAGACCAAAGGGATATATTTCCACTTTCCTTCTCTTGCTGTATAGTTAATGTCACCTGCTGCACCGGGTCTTGAGCACTGACTGTTAGTATAGCTACAGAGGAAAATAAAGGTTTGATATGCTCTTCCCTGATAAAAAACAGCAACTGTTATCAGAGGAAAGGCAAAGCCACTAATCACAGGAAGTAGGTAATGTATTTCTCTTTAAGAAGACTGTGACAGTTGAGAGAGTGAGAACAAGATAGACCGAGAGACACGATGACTGAATTCAGTTTTAAACTTTTTTTTATTGATGGGTGCTTCAGATTACAAATATGAATGTATATAACACATACTACTGCACTTGGTTAAGTTTCGCTGATGGATTTCATGATGCTGTTTTGGTGTTCATGGTACCTTGCATCATGTAGCATTGCCATGTTATGCTGTATCATGTTCTGCTGTGCCCAGGGGTCCTTGAGGGGGGCTCCAGGTGGTCCCCAGCAAAAAGGGGAGTACTTCTTGTTCACTAACTCCATCCATAAGTAACACAATAATAGAATTTATGACTATTTGGTCATGTGTTTCACTTTCTGTAAGAAAACAAATATCCGATGGGTGAACCTCGGACAAAATCTTATCAGTTTAGGGATCCTTCACATTAAAAAGTTTGAGAACCACTGACCTACAGCACTGTGAAAGGTGATCCCAGCAACCTCTATGCTATCATCAAATAAATGAAGAAATAAGATACCAGTTACAGTGCTGGTCAAATATGTTATATTTTCCATTCACCGATCATGTTTTTGTGTGTTCACTGTTTATCTCTGTGGGGAATGTGTCTCTGTAATCCAAATCTTGGCCTTCAATTACCCTGAAGCTCTCACATTTATTTACTGTTTGAAGTGCTGAATGCTTTCAGTGTTACATCAGATTTTTGGGATAATCTAATGTTTTTTTTAAACTTTATATTTCACTTTTTGGATTTATTGCTGTAAAATGTGTTATCCAGAGGGTGGTGTAGTAGCTAAACTACCAATATGCAGAAGTAGTGATCAAACATTCATGAGAAAAGTTCCAAGTTCAAGAGTTGTTTTTATTTGTTTCATCTGTTTTATCTCTTTCAAACTATCTACCACTAGTTATTGTTTCATATGCAATAATGTTAATAAGTATATCTCTGTCCAGTTTAATTATAATGTCCTGGTGCTATGAAAGTGCCTTAAAGTAAACTGATAGGAGTTGGGATGTAACGTTTAGATTGAATTCGCTGGGGGGAGTTTGTTACAGCTTATGTCAGAGTGTTCACATCTGACGTTCTCTGGTTACACAAAAACAGCAAATACTAAAAGAGGAAAACTTTCGTTATGAGGAAGTGATGACACACTATTCACATGAAGTATGTGCTGTTTTGGTTTTTGTTGAGAAGCACTTGTTCAAGCAAGTGTGAAAACGAGAGGCAGAAAAGAAAAGAGACAGACAGAAGAACAATGGTTGAATTCAGATGGATTAAAATGTTTTTATGTTTGATACTAGTGCTTCAGTTTACAGGTAAGGATACAAACACTTTACAAAACTTAACTTTATACATATGAATTATAGTACCTGTTTGCTTCATGCTGTTTGTTTTAAATTCAGTGGTCTCTCGAAAACTAAGTTTGAAAGACACTTGTTGCATTTAAAATGATCCTCACACCATGAACGTAAAAGCTATAATCTTACTTTATTTTATATGTTCATGTTTCTCTCCAATGTCTTTTTCTCTAATTTCAGCAGTATCTGAACAACATCACCCGTCTCTAATTGTCAGTAAGGGAGATGAAGTCACTTTGCCTTGTGAAAACGTGCAAAATGATCACCGTAAATGTAACAGTACTGCCTGGCACATCAGTGGTTGTCCTGGCAAATCAGAAAGAAACCGGGTTATGCAAGGGCAGATTGTTACACCAAACACCAAAGGTAAATCAGACAGACTGAGTGTTGCAGAGAACTGTTCTCTGGTTATAAAGAATATCACAGTCGAGGATGTTGGTCGTTATTACTGTCAACAGTTCAGATCAGGACAACAACAAGGTCCAGACTCTCAGGTTTATCTGTCTGTTGTTAACAGTGAGTATTTCCATCATAATGTTTTCAGCTCAAACTGTCTTGTTAGAACAATATACTGAAACATTACAATAATTATGATCACAGTGATGAAGTTAACTTTACTCTTGTTGTCTTTCTCTCACAATATCTCCATCTTCACCAGTGACTGAACATAAGGACGCTGATAAGGTGACGTTAAACTGCTCTGTGTCGACATATGAACACTGTCGACACACAGTGAAGTTGCTGTATGGGGGTACAGAGGTTGATAAACATAACGAAGAGTTAAGGATGGACCAGTCTTACTGCTGGGCCAGTGTGATCTTTAAGACTTCTCATTTTATTCACAAGTCTCAGGAGTTATTGAAGTGTAAAGTGACGGACAGCTACAATGGAAAAGTGTACACCTTCAGCCCTCAGTCTTCAGTCAAGAAAACAGGTGAGAATATGATGAGCGATTTAAAATCACTTCATCCTGATGTGAAAATTATAAAATGCATTTGTTTATTTTATGAATTTTATCTAAAGTAGGAGCTAACAAAACAGCACCTGGAAACAACAATGAAACCACAAAGCCACAAGGTATATTTTCATATATATATATACATGTATAGCACTCTCTTTTTCTCTGTTTGTTTGTGTGTTGTTCGACTGAAAAAGCATTTGTGAAAATCATTTTAATAACAGTGTTGAACAGGACAGAAAACTGCAGCCTAAAGTGTTTTCTTTCTATTTCTAGATTGGCTGTGGTTGTACATCACTGTGTCTGTGGGTTTAGCAGCACTCTTTATAACTGTTGTGGCACTCATTAGATGGAAGAGAAATAAAGGTGGGAATTTCATTCACAGAGTAAACTTTTATCAACAAACTGTTTTGATTAACCTAAATTTTAACTAAAATAACTTATTTAAAAGTTAAAAATAACTATGTTTGTCTTTTCAGGGAACAAAAAGACAAAAAAAACACAAATAGATGAAAACATGGTGAGTTTTAAAACTGAATAATAAATATTTATACAATAATGACTTTACAGAGACAAACCAGTGTTTGAGGTAGTTGCTTTTCAGAACAGTAACTATACTGAAAGAGAATAAGAATAAGCAGTACAGACTATAATGTCTTGAAACTAAGTGGTGGCAGACACAATTATGCGCAAAATCAAATTAGGACATAAATACAAATAAATGAAATTCCCCCAGGGCTTCAGACTCTCAGCTGCCCCGTATGCCTCTGGTTCAATGTGTGTGATTTGGTTTGGGTGATCTGATTGACTGCAAGTAGTTTGCGACTGGGACCACAAAAGAACAGTGTGTTTGTGCAGACACAAGCTAAATCTGGGTTTTGGAGGCTTAAAGCAAACTTTTCAAAGACTGCGAGGGGCCCAACGCTATTTTTTAAACATAAACAACAGCCTCCAAGAGTTCAAATACAATGTCAACAACATATGTTATAAGCCTCATTGGCGTAGTATTTGTCAGGTGTATTAGAATGCATTTTGTTAAGTCAAAATGAATTTATCCATGGAGCTGAAGTTGTAGAGTTGAAGCAGTTTTCCCGCTAATCCAAGAGGCTTCATCACACCACATTTTCCACTAACATAACTAGACTGTGTTTGTCCAGGGAGTGCGCTTAAACCCTGCAGTGACTGAGTTTGCTCCAGAAACCAATCAAGACATGGTGAGATCTCACACTACACACAGTACAAAGTTACACTCATAGGTGTTTGCATGTGTCCTTTAAAATATAACTGTATGAGTCAGGAAGTAAGCCTAATTTCCTTCTGCAACAAAGAAGAAAAGGGAAGGATGTTGATGCAATTGCTGTTCACCAGAACAGAATAACATAGAATTAAATGGACAGTCAAAAGGTTCAACAAGAAGGCTGTAGATCAAAATGCAAGATCAGTCAGCTTAAAAGCATAATAGTCAATTTAACAATCTGGAAGGCACCTTGAAAAGTGTAAACCGGCAAATCCCGAAAGAGAGTGAAAGAGGCATAACATAACCAAGAGTAGATGGGAATAGAATAAAAATGTTACTGAGCAGCCATGTGATATGTCTTCTCCGTGTAGGCTGATCCTGAAGATGGTGTTTCCTACACCTCCATTTGCTTCACCGAGAAGACCAACAAGGAAAAAGTCCGGGTCAGCTGTCTGTTATAATTGTGTTTTACCCTTATTTTAAGTGCTGTGTTGCATGTGATGATGTTGCAGTGTGTTGTGTTTATGTTATTGGGTTATTTTGTGTTTCTTTCAGTATGTATTTCATTATTTAAATGCTTTGTTGTGTTAATGTGGAGTTGGATTCTGCTTTACACTGTATTATCTTTCTACTATATTTTAACCATGTTAAATCCTGTTAACTAATTTAGGTTTTGTACTGTGTCCCTTTTATGTTCTTTAGGTTCAAGGTGGTGATGATGCAGTGACATACAGCATTGTGAAAGCTCCTTCCTCTTCTGCTGGAGCCTCTGCTGACCCCAGAAACCTCTACGCCACCATCAAATAACCAAAAAAATGAAACAAAAAACAACATATTATAGTTACATTTAATATTGTTGCATTTTGATAGATCAGTAGTTTAAGCTTTTTGGTCTGAAAACAATGTCAGTTTTTATTCCCAGAGTGAGTTTGGTGTGACTTTTAACAAGAAGGGTCTGGGTTGCTTTGTGGTACTGTATTGATTGTTGTGCAGAAATTGTTTGTGCAATCCAAATCTTAGAGAGTATTTTATATTTAATCATATTTATTTCTGATACAGCTGAAGAATTAAATCCTACTGTTATTTTCCAATAATATAGTGTTGCAGTGTTATTTAACCAAGTATTCTCTTCTCATTCCCATTACTGCTATAAAAAGCTTTTTGTCCAGAAAGCCAGAAGGGGGAGTAATAGCCCTACATTCAGAAGGCTGATTGCCATATACAGAAAATGTGATTCACCTGTGGTTTTGTTATGTGCAATGAGACGAACATTACTTCTCCCTGTAATGTCACGTAATTATCATTATTTACGATCCCATTTGGAAGTTTTATTAAAACTCATATTCTATCTCTATTTTGTGAGACGTGTGTATATAATTTTGCTATAAGAATAATTATATCATATTCTACTCTGTTCAATTAAATTTTATTCAATTGTATTGTGAGAACTAACTTTGTCAAGCACCTAAAAATGAACAAAATGTTCAAAATCAACAGTTGCAACAAGGGGAAGAAAATCCCATTTGTTGCAGCTATTTCACTTGTTGACGCCCTCGTCCATCAAAATCCACCAATCAGAAAGCGCCGACCCGCCCCTCTTTGTTGGCTCGACCAATGAGAAGCCGTCGGCCGTTGGTGGCTGCCGAGGATGCGTACAACGGAGAGACACAGGAGAGCAGTATGTAGCTCGTAGAACCGTTTTATCCCCAACGATTTGATCATGTGAGGGATTAAAGAAGCCTTCTTTATCAACATGAAGTCGGATTTTCGGGGGAGATAGTTGATACCGAGCCGCCGTGCAGGCTGCTGACCGGGAGGAATGCGCAGGGGGAGCTCATTTTCCCGGACCGTGGTGGTGGGAGGTAACGGCCCCCGCAGTGTTGTTAGACCGAGAGAGAGCGGCTAGTGTCAGCTAGCTAGCAAAACAGGAGAACTTCCGGAGGATATTTTCAAAATAAAAAAAAGCTCCGGCGAGAACACGGTACGTTTGGTTGAAGTTGTCCAGATTAAATTTTTCTGACACACTTAAAACACGTATAGACGAAGACGTAATGGGTTTATGAGTATGTTGCAACGATTAGTTGACCCTATTCTTTATACACGCAAAATCGAGGACCGTGCTGCTTTTACTTTAGAAGCACTTTCCGTTTCCCTAGCCCAACGGTTCTTATAACTAGCTAGCTTGACACATACAAGACGGGGTGAAGTTACAAAGCCTCGAACCAAAACAAGACTTCACTGCCTGTGGTGGACAACGGATCCTTCTCATGAATGGGACCCACCTCGTCTCAATGTGTGTTTTTCGAGTCAAATGCCTTTTTTAACCGCAGGACCTGTCCTTTATCTGAAATCGGAGCCCCGGTGAAAAAACAACGGTACGTTTGGATTAATAATGGTTGAGATATTTCAGCGGATGCAACCAAAATTAAACTCAGCTATCGATGTGAACTTGTGCCAGTGGTAACGTTACTCACTAGTGAGTTTTCAAGTCACTTCTGCAATAAGTTATGTTTTTAATTCTGTGCATGCTGTCAGTGTAATACAATTTAAAACAGAAATTCGCGATAGTTTATTTTATACACATGAATGAGTTTGTAGAGATGTTAGAGCTTCATTTGTGAGTGAACACTAACGTTACACAGACTAAAAAGTGTTCCGTGTTTGCATTTCTTGACTTTATAACAACCTCTGTAGCTTAATTCATATTGCGTTTGACACTTTTGGTACCCTAGGCTACTTGTGTGATTCTCAGTGTTGATTTTACTTGGATTTTAACTATCAAATGTTCTGTTGGTTATTCTGGACCTATCATTTCTCTGCACAGTCTTTTTGCTGTCATATTTATGCTTTTTACAGCTGTTGCAGGATTACTTTGAAAGAAATCAATCTCGGTGGGCTGTTGCTAGATCGGGGAGGGTTTTGCCTCCCTATAGGGATTTGTTGTCATGTTGTCAAGGCTTCATACTCCACTGTAGCACCATCATTCCTCTTCCAAAATAGGAAAGGCGCAGATCTTCTTTGGGTGTGCCCACTCAAGGGGAAGCATCTTATTAAAACATAACTGTACCTTTTATGGAAACATTTTTCAGAAGGAGTAATGTCATTTACTACTAGCCTACTTTGAGGAAGTAAATTGTGTTCTGGTATGGTTAAAGTATTTTATTTATTTTTCACCTTTCCAGGTTTGTCCTTTTAAGATCAAAATGTACTGTCCAACACTGACAAACAAGAAGAAGCTCTTGTAGCGGGAGGAGGATCGCCTGCCCTAACGTTTCCTCCTCCTCCTCCTCCTCCTCTTCCTGGGATCAATGACGGGACCCAACTCCCCAAGCCGGACCGGCACCTCCCCGGCCAAGCTGAGCAGGCATGGCCGATCCAAGAGCACCAGCTCGCACTGCCTCCGCCGCTGCAGCACCCATGAGGACTCCTCCACCTCTCCCCCTAACAACAGCTCCGGGTCCCCTGGGGAGGAAGAGGAGAAGGATGGAGGGGTTCTTTTCTACGTTAATAGGGCCGGTTTTCCCATTGAGAGCACAACGTGGGAGAGGATGTGGTCCCATGTGGCTGCTGTTCACCCTGAGGGCCAGGAGATGGTGGACAGGATACGGAATGCGGCATACCTTCCCAAGGTAAGCCAACTGTGATTGGTTCATCCCGTGGTGTTTGAAGCTGTGGACAAAATAACACGCCATGAGAAAATATTTTAACTTTGAAGCAACCAGATTCCCAATATACTGGATATATCCACTTGGTTCATTTGGAATTTCAACTGATCTGTTCCTAAACTTCCCTTGTTTTGAAGTATTTTGTAGTATTGTTGACCAATGCACCTGCAATTTGGAGCTCTGTTTGTCATCTTGTCACGTCTTTGTCTTAGCTGGAAATTTTAAGCATTTTCTAGTATCTAAACCACAGCTACAATGAGCAGTCAGTTAGTTTAAAGACTGATAAAAACACAGAAAATTACCATACAATCAGTCAAAGAGGCTAGTGGGTTTTGGGGGCAGGATTTAGATTGTTCTTATAAGTTATACATTATTATATTCCATTTTATTATCATTTGGTTGAATTTGAGACATGAAAAATCAACACAATTGGACATGGGAATTCACCTGAGCAATATGTTCAAAGTTTATGGAAGTGCTTTCGTTGTTAATGGACTCTTTATGAAGGGTTTCTTCATGAAACCTCTTTGGGTCCCTGTGGCTACTGAACTATGAAGGAATACAGGGGCCGCTTTACTTTTTAGCATCAAAACCAGCTCTGATGTGACAAGACAGGATGGATGAGTGTGTTAACTGCTCAGGTTTCTTGCTGCAGGCTGCATAAAGGCTGGCTATATAATAGGACTGGCTTTCACTGTGTTTGAGACGTGTATTCAGTATTCACATGTTGACAGGTCTCATCGCTACCTTCCTGTGCAAAGGTTGGTGCTGGGTTCTTCTCGAGTGCCAGTTCTGTGCGTATCAAACATGCTCGATATTTGCAGGACAATGTTGATTGTATCATCTTATTAGTATTATTACTATCAATAAGGCTGTGGATTAATTTTAGTTTCTAACATGGCAGACAAAAATTGCTATCACAATTTCTCAGAGCCCAAGGTACATTACGATTGTGATATGAGTCAGATTGATGGTGATGGTGTAATGGATAAGATGCCTGCCTTTGGTGTGAGAGACCCGGGTTCAACTCCCCACTGTGACCCATGCACCAATGTGTCCCTGAGCAAGACGCTTAACCCCTCGTTGCTCCAGAGGCATGCAATGTCTGATATGTATAGCAATTGTAAGTTGCTTTGGATAAAATTGTCATGTAAATTATTTTATATTATGTGTCTCCTAGTCAGTTCAAGGTATAGTGACTGTCTGTAGAGTAGTGTGTGTGTGTGTGTGTGTGTGTGTGTGTGTGTGTGTGTGTGTGTGTGTGTTTACAGTTACATTGCTTGTGTGTTAATGTCAACCTGTTTTCACACTCTGTTTCACAAATACACACACTCTTAGGGTGTACACACACACGAATACATCATATTACCATGACAACAAGTGTGCTAAATCGGGGCACCATACCTGTCAAGTGAGGTTAAATCTGCCTTTTGGATTTATGGTGTGACAGACTGTGTGTGTCATTGAATCCAGACTCACACACGTCTATTACACACATGTTCGTACTATCATAGCTTGTGTGGTTAGACAAATACTGTGTGTATACTACCCTAAAGACAATTTTAAACAAGACAGAGTACTGTCACTACAGTTGAGTATGCGCTCTGACTGCCATACCAAAGAGCCTGGCTCTTCGCCGTTGCATGTTTGGTACCGAGGTTTGAAAACCTCTCATCCTTCACTAAAATAACAATAACAGTATAAACTTACAGGTTAAAACCCCAATTGCAAAAACTGTGCACCCTGTCAATTGTCCTTTGGTAAGACATTAAAACCTAAACAATTGCAGTGTTGTATAGCTGATCTTGACTGCCTCGTAGAGAATTTCAATACAGTGTTCACATACATGTTTTGTATATCACACAAACTACAGCACTTCAGCCAACAACCATTAAGTAACACAATTTTGCTGGTTTCAGCTTCTTAAATGTGAAAATGTGCTGCTTTCCCCAGCTTTATATCATTGTAAAAAGATTTTTTGTTAAAGTTTTTGACTGTTGGTTGGACAAAACAAGACGTATGAAGACATTCAGCTCTGAGAAATGAATTGTTTTTATATTTATCCACGACTAAAAATTCAAAAAATAAGTTCTTCGGGGTGAAAGAACGTGTATCATGTGCATCCCCACACTCATGATACATATCTCTGTCTGCTGCTACTGAGGCCCCTCAGCCCTGATTTTCCTGTCAGTGATTTGGATGAAAGCTTGTTGTGTTTCAGGCTCGGCAGGAAGGAATCTGGTTGTTGTTGTTTAGCACTACTAATTGGCCATGTGGTGACCCGGTTGGCTGGCAGTGCCAAAATCCCATACTGTTGTTCTGGACAGAAGCACGACAGGAGGACATGTGCACACAAACAAACACACACACACACTGTACAAGTGTAGATACAGAATGTGCACACATAAGCAGCTTGTCTGTTTTCCTCATAGAAGCCTTTAGCCATAGATCATATTCACATGTACCTGTTGCTCGTGACTATCACTATAAAGTTTGAGCCAACTGCAAAGCCACTTGGAAGCCTTTCAAGTAGGAAAATACAGTATGTCAGTATAGTAGTGTGAAAAAGGTGACAGCCAAACAACATTGTTATATGCTTTTTATTATTTTACTTGACCTATTTTAAAGTTTAAAAGATTCCAGTTTATCTCTTGTTGAGTGTAATTGGAACCTTGTTTCACATTAAATTAAAATCGACCATCACATGCAAAAATGCTATTGAATTAAGTTTTCTTTTACTTTGCTTTGCAAGGACACTGCTATGGATGAGTAAGTATGGGTGCTGTAAGCTTGCACCCAAGGTGTCTGTTGGTTTACGTTGTGCTATTGTGTATAGTTGATATGCAACCTGATGCCTTTGTGTGTGTGTGTGTGTGTGTGTGTGTGTAGTGTGAAAGCAGGTGGTTACCACAGATGCAGTTGCTGATACATTGACACAGGTGGGTTAACTGTGTTTAGAGAGGGAAGGAGGAAGAGAGACAGAAGAAGAATAACTGTAATTGACAGTCTGTTTCATTTATTATGACCAGCCTGTGTTGGTTTTTTGTGGTTGTAAAGTTATTACAGCCGCTGTGTGTAACATTTAACAATAGAAAATAATAAACATACACATGTAATTTTTCAGTCACCAGGTCAGTTTTGGGAAGAAATGTGGTGGATTGCTCTGGGATACAAATCAGAAAGTAGGTCATGCTTTCAAAATGCAACCTGTGGAACCTTCAGGTATACTTAACACAGTGTACTTCTGTTTTATCCACGTTGCCACCTTCCGTGCCCTGATTAACAGAAATGAAGTCTTTGCACTGGGGCCGAATAATCCCTCTAATACAATCTGGGTAATGGATAATCTCTGGATACCAACTGGACTACCTAAAGGCCTTTTAATGGGAAACAAAGCTGGCTAGAACTCGCCTGAGCAAAGATCTCTGCCAGAGCTCTGTAAAACTAGAAAAACAAGTATTTTAATTCAGTATCTCTAAAATTGATTTTATTAAACATGGAAAGGAGTTATAAACCAGTGCTCCTTTTAAACATCAATATAAATTTCTGAGACTTTTACTTTTCACTTATTGAATGTTTTAATTTGAAATAACACATGTTGTATGCCTCATAAACAAAGCAAGACAGGTTTGAAATTGGTCAACAATCACTGTGTGGTCACTGGACAGGAACTAAAACTAACTGTAGTGAGTAGATGTCACGAAGTAGGACAAAGACGTTGATAATTTCCGTAATCCACTGTCATTCTATTGTTCTGGAGTAAAATATTAAAGGTCAAGCTGTGACAATAGAATTTATGGCGTTAACAGATTACATTTAAACTAGACATTTTTAGCATCTGTGACAGTAGAACCAGCTCAACGACTCTAAACATTTAAGCTTCTGTCTGTAGAAGCTTTTGTAATTTTGTTTAATTCAGGAGATAGATGGCGTGTTTTGGATTGGATGTTTATATGTATGGATGCCTGCCAATATGGATTAGGATGGACAGATGTGCTCTGAGGCAAAGAATTACAGACTAAAGCACTAATCCTCATGAAGGTGTTCTTTAGTGTGATTACTGTTGTAGACACAAGCCACAGCTAAGTAATGCTGTCAGCGCTAAAATAATACCTCATCACTTTTTATATAACCAAATCATAAAATGATTGCAAGAAACGGGGAATCTCATGTTGAGACTTTGCTTAATCATTTGTTTTTCAGCTGTCTCTCTTGCCACTCACACACACACACTTACACAAAGAGAGAAAAGGGCATTCCTCGGGATGTCCCGCTCTAAAGATATCATGACGGCAGGAAATTGGATCGGTCTCTCTCCCTCTCTCCAACTTGCTCAGTGCTGTAAAGGTAACAGAAGATATTGCTACAAGCAGGATCTCTTTATCTCAGTGGCACTTTGTTGAGACCTAAATGAAACATTAAGAGAAATGTCTGCTGAGCTGTAGACATGCTTAAATTAAAAGCAAATACTTTTATTTAAAAGGATGTGCAATTTAAATCCATTTTTGGTTTGACTTGCAGATGTTTTACTTTATTTATTTATTTATTTATTTATTTTTACAACTTAAATCGATTGGCTCTAATAAAAGTGAAAAAACACATTTTACTTATGTTCCTTCAGCCTTGTATTGATTTTGTATGTTCGGCCATGGAGAAAGAAGGGAACGGGAAGGAGAAAACAAACAGGAAGATTTGAGATAACTACTGTATGAAGAGGAAGGAGTAAGGGAGGACAACAGAAGAGGAGGGCGGGTGAAAACAGGAAGTGAGGCAGAGACAAATTAGCTACCAATCTAAACTATGAAGTGATGCTCTCCCAGCTGAACTCTGAACAGATTCATTACTGACTCTACATCGGTGTATACAATATCAAATACTCGGGTTGCTAATGGCGAATTTATTTATGTTTTAGCCATTTAGCTGCCTCTGTTTATCAGGATGGCTATGTTCACACAGCACCTAAATATTTGACTCATGAACGCTAACTCCTCTGCAAGTTCACACACAGATTGGATATGTAAGACTGTGACAGATGTAACCGACGTAACTGTCAGGCAACATCACATTTCATTAGGCGTAGTGCTGACTCTCAGCTGCTCCTGGGATAGTGGACAGCTAAAATGCTGCAGACTACATTAAATGCTTCCAAAAAAAATAAAAAAGTAATACATTCGTCATGCTGTATCTTTTTAAAAGGCGCCCTCGGTTAAATATTTTGCAAAATTCCTCCGTAGCCGAGAGATGAGAGGAGAGGATGATAAAAGTGAGGGATCGCCAGTCATCTCACTCCCTGACCCAGCAGAAAGCAGCTTTAGTGTGTGTGTGTGTGTGTGTGTGTGTGTGTGTGTGTGTACCAGCTGATGCAGCCAGTGTTATTACGCTTTAGTGAGAGTTTACTACATGGTAGATTATGCTGCAGTAAAACTTGCTATTTACTGTTCTTGGCTGGCTGGCAGACTGGTTTATGGATTGAATGACTGAATTTTTTTACTTGCTCAGTGAGTTCATGTTGACTGGTTGGCTTTCGTCAGGTTTTGAAGGGGGATCTATTGTTTGTATTAAATTAGTTAAAATGTGTTTTTAGTGACTAGGTTTAGTGGCTAAATAACTGTTTTATTGGACTAACTTGTTCTATGTCTGATGGGCTAACTGTCTGAATGGCTGACTGAAGATTAAATCCCGTTTAAGGTTTTTGCTGTGAGTTTTGAAGATTCATGAGTGCCATTAAAAGCGAATATGATTGTGTGTGCATTTGCATGTGTGTGACAAACGTGTGTGGGGTGGTAGATGGAAGATTCTACCACAATTTAGAAGTGGTTTCTTTAAATAAGTACATCTTGGAAGATCACATGTGCCCTAGTTTTATATTAGGACCCCAACCATTTTGCCAAAAACAACAACCTAACCCATAACCTGTATCAGGGCTCACCCTCTGTACTGTTTTCTTCCTTCTCAGCTCTCTTTTTGTGCTGTAAATAAACCCCACAGGAAATGATAGGGCTGCTGCTATACTTCACCCTTCCTGCACACACACACAGCACGCAGGCTGCCTGTGTATCAGAGGAAGTGTTGGTTTGTGTTCAAGTCTTACTCACTCTCTGCAGGTGTGGTCGTGTCCTTTCATGAAGCCACATCAGTGACCTCTGTTTCCTTTCTGAAATGGTGCATGTTGAGGTGAAAAGGCTGCAGAAACAGCAGCGTGGTTTTCATTTTCACCGCAGGCCTCTCTCCTCACAATGTTTGTGTCTGTCGACCCAGCGGTCTAAAAGGTGGTGCACACCAGAGTTAGAAACAGGCCTTTGTTATGTGTCATCTATGTCTTAATTTTATTATTTCCCGTGGCTACCCACTGTCAGCTATCCATCACTCATTAACTACAAGGAGTTTATTTGTCGTTTTTTGCACAGAATGCTGTGGCACCACTGCTTCCACAACTACCACTACTGGTAGCAGCGTGGACAGTAGCTGTTGGAATAATTGTCATTTTCTTGTTATGTAAATGTTGAATGTTGTTAAGAGGCAGTAACAATTTAATGGAGAAACAGATTTTTCAAAATTACTGCGAAAATTAAATGACTTACAATTGTTAAATTTAATGAGATATATATATATATACACACACACAGCTTCAAGAAGATATCTACAGGTCTCCTGTCTAAACATAGGCATGACGGCTTCTGTATCAGCTGTCGGAAACATAGATCACTTTAATTAAATTAATTGAAGAGATTTGAACTTCAAACAGGGTTTCTGTTCTGTTTCTTAACAATAAGAGCTACCATGACTGAGGCTTTCAGAAAGCATCTGCTAGCCAAGAAATGACGTCTGGTGGAGCGGAAAGAGTGACACATGTACCACTGTCACTCTCGGCTAAATTAATTTAACACTGTAGGTTGAAATTAATGTTATTTAATGTGAGAGTAGTAAATAGTTGACTAGTGAAGCCAGTTTAAAATTATTCCAGCAGCGGTGGAACATCAGTGAGTGTCAGCAGTACGAGCTGTAATGAGTCACGGTCATGGGACATTGAAAAGGCAGATATTTAAAGATGCTGGGAGGTGGCTTCAGGGCTTTGAACGTTACCACATGTTACACATTTTCTGGAAATAATGTGTGAAAATCTATTACTCTCTCTCTCTTTCTTCAGCATGCCATTGCTTCAGTTCCGACCTTCAGACCATCCATGTCGGTCCCAGAGTGGCTGGTGGCCATCCAGAACTACATGAAGGCTCTGCAGTATCCTTAAACACAAACGCCAGCACAACTTGCCTTGACAACAAATATCATGAACAGAGCTACACCTGTCAGGTGAAGTTAGTCTGTTTGTGTCTCATAACTTTAGACACACACTTTAAATTATCGTGACACGATGGGTGACTGCAACTTGAGGGGTGAGCTCTGCCGATAGTTGAGGGACAGATAAACAACAATGTTAACTACTCTGTTCTGTTGTCCCTAACATTTCTATCAGATACAACCACACAGGAACACAATTCTTTGAAATCAAGAAGAGCCGTCCACTGTGTGGGTAAGTGGACCGCAGCTTTGAAAAGGACGTCCAATTACAGTGTAATTGGATTGCAATAATATAAACAGAACATTTGTTTATCAGAATCTAAATGTAAACATCTCTTTCTGATTACTCTTTCTGAATAGCTCATAATTAGCATAAGCATGTTTTACACACTTGGAAATGTTTTCATTTCATTTAGTCTCATTTCAGTTCATGTTTTGAGTTAAATGTTCCTCCGGTTTTAGGAATTGAAACAAATAGAAAGCATGGCTAACAGTAGTGATTAAAACCTATGCTCTTTGGCTGAAAGAAAAGAATCTTCTGTAAATACATTAACTCGCAAACAAAAAACGGTTATCTCATAGAGGAGATTTTAATAATTAATAAATAATTTAATTTAATATTTAATAAATTACTTAGCTGACGCTTTTATCAAAAGTGACTTACAATTGCTAAGCTAAGTGTCTTGCTCAGAGACATAATTAGTTTAGTTAGTTTGATTAAAGGGCAATATGCTGGAGCAGTGTGCAGGGAGACCACCAACTGTGACCTTTGACCTGCCTGTAGAGAGTGTGGAGAAACTATAGAGATCAATAAAACCTCACAACATTACATAACATTTCAGTCAGTCAGTTTGTCTTTGTCTTGGTCTTAGGACCTACAGAGCGTCTTGTTGGTAGTGGTGTTAAAATGAGAGTACCATACTCACTGAACTCTCACCATACCTCACAGGTGAAATATGAATGTTGGGGAAAAACTGTCAGCTAACATCAAAACCTCCGTTGCATCTCCCACTTTTATGAAACATGCTCATATTTGTAAAAATCAAAATAAAATTATTGTTTAAAATCCTGGTAAATCTATAGTTTTCACATGAAACTGAAATGACTACTTTGAAAATAACACTTCTATCTCTGCATGTCTTTCTCCTCATCCTCCCCTCTGTCTTTCTCTTTCCACCTTCCTCCCTCCCTCATCTTGCTCTTGCTCTTATTTGTCACATATTGTCCCTTGTTCTTTTCTTCATTTTCCTCTGCCTCTCCTGCTGCTCCTCTTTGCCTTTGCCTCTGCCTTTTTCCCTTCTTCTTCCTCTTCCCTGCCTCCCACTCTCAATCCTCTTCCTCCCTTTCCTCTACTTCATCTCCTCCTCATCTTCCTCCTCGTCCAGGTTAATGGAGACAGCAAGAGAGATGATCAGGGAGTCCTTGCCAATCAAATGTCTCGAAGCCGTCATCTTGGGAATGTATCCTTTCCTGCACGCACACAAACACACACATACCAAGCATCGGGCCAAAAGGTTTTGTTATCTGTGGGTGAAATCAATGAGACACATTGCTATAATGTCCTAATGCCCCCCCGCAACTGCCACCCTTTCCATTTATTACTGAACTGTGTTGCCTGGCAACAAGCCCTCTTCAAAATTTAACCCCCACCGCGTGCGCACACACACACACACTCACACACTCACACACACACACACACACACACACACAAACACACACTCACACACACGCAGAGCTTAAATTTTTAAAGCAGCAGTCTGTAGTTTTTTGCAACAGCTTCCAACATTTAACTTTCAGATATCCTGCAGTTCCCTTCTGTCTAAATAGATTTTGTCAGCTGCAGTTTAAAATTATAAACTGTACATGATTTTTCACTTGTGGACAAGTACAGAAGCTCTGGTTTGACTAGGGACCATTTAACAAATCAGGGGCTGCTTTTAGTCATTATGTCGTGATATGGAGCCACTGTGGCTAAACATCTGTTGAAGTATGTCACTGAGCCTTAGTCCTTGATGTGTTTCGAGCTCTGTTACCTTTCTGTGGTTGCACGTTCAGTTTCACATAGTTTTTACTGTAGGTGCTTCATTTGAACAGCAGACCCATAAATTACAACATATAAATGTGTCTGTCACCGTAATGTAAAAGTTTTTTGTAGCCAAGATCATAATGAATACAAATGCTGAGGTCAACGCTGGCCACTGACCTTGTGTGTAATGTTTGTTTGCAATTTCTTATCAGAGAAGTGCTGAAATGATAAATTGATAAATCAGTTAACAGATGAACAAATATGGATTAGAGATTTTAAAGTTGATTTAACCGTTTTACTTTCTGGAATGTCAGAAGTTGTTGTTTTGTATTTCGTGTTGTTTTGTATTTTGTAAAGTCAGTACCTTTTTGGGCCATACCAATGCCCATCACATGTTCAAGCTATTTGAACTTGTGATGGGCATTATCTTGTATTCATTGATGATATATAATATTGGTTAATTAAATTAAAATAAATGTGAAATAAAAAATAATGGACTGATTAATCCCAAATAAATTAATCATGAATTGACTCAGTAGCCCTAGATCAGAGCTTTGGGTAAATACCACAAATATTAATTAAATTAAATGGTTATTTTCCATGCACAATAAAAAATCTTGAATTTTAGCGCCATACTTTCAATAAGATGGCAAGAAGTACTAAATGCACCTACTTTTTAACAGTTACTCTAAAGGCAACAACGTTTGCGAGAGAACAAAAAATTATATTATCATTATCATAATATCATATTGTATCCGTGCGAACCAAATACTTATCTAATCAATTTTTTAGAGATAAGCTGAGATCTGTAGTGCATTATCAACACTTAACAGGATACTAAGCTCTGCGTTAATATAATCACCCGCACTAAAGGTTATAAAGGAGCTAATATGTGGTGTGTGTATGTGTGTGTGTGGTGAAAATTGTTTGGTGTAAAGATTTTGTCATGTGAACACATGAGAGACTTTTCTGTGTTTCTGTGAATGGATAGTCCAGTTTCATGTGTGCTAGTTTCACTGTGGCTTCTTTTCTCCAGGGCTGTCAGGGTGGCAGCTGACAGTGACTTTAATTGAGACTGGCTTTAGCCTACAGATGAAAGGAGGACAGAGGCAGGGAAAAAAGAGAAAGTGGCTAGAGCTCAACAGAAAAATAACATCAAGGCGAAGGAAAGAAAGGACATATGAGCCAGGGGTAGTGAGAAAAGGAACAGTAGACAAGGTAGTCAGTGTGAATGAATGATTTTGTTCTGCTTTAAACAACCTGACGCTATTGCATTCAAATCAGGAAGGTACATCACATGTTTGTGCAGTATCACCTTTCACCCTGAGGTTATTTACGGAAAAAAAAGGAGTGAGGCCCCAGCGAGAATTGAACTCGCGACCCCTGGTTTACAAGACCAGTGCTCTAACCACTGAGCTATGAGGCCTTACCTGGTGTTAAAATAGATGAGTAACCTCTTACATGTACATAACAGAGGACGACACTCCCTATTTAAATACCAGCTATTGCGATAATGTGATACCAACCTAACCAGTTGACTCTGTCAGTCACTTAGTGTCTGTATATCCTGCACTGAGCTCCAGAGTCAGTTTAAAATGTTCAAAAACATGCAATCAGATATTAAATACTGTGAAAAATAAAACCTCTGCTGTCTGTTGGGACCAAGTGGAATACAAAAATGTAATAACTTTCTGCTTAATTTAAGTGAAAATGTAATCATTCAAAACTCAAATAAATCCAAATGTTTATTAACAGTAAAGAGTGAAACTGTGTTAGGAGAAGATAGTAGATATAGAAAGCTAAGATAGAAAAACAATGGGGAAAAGAGGGATGAATAGCAACTGTTGTTGTAGCTTGTGGCACTTGGATTTGTCTGTCCTCCTGTCTGTTTGTTTCTCTTTTGTCTGTCCTCTGCCGCTGGTTCCTTTCCTTCCCTGTTAACAGTGATCTGAATTCTCTCCAGGATATTCAGGGTTTATCTTGGGTCACACCAGCTGGGTGTGTGTGTTGACGGCGCGAGTTTGTCTCTGTGTCTCATTGTATTAACCATCACTGACTGGTGTTTTGCTTGACTACAAAGCAGCCTCAAGTTGAATAATAATCAGATTGAGTACAAACGTATTTCTAAAGAACTACTTAAAATAAAGTAACAAAATACAACAGAGTAAATTAGTTAATATATAAAACCTGCATGAAGCATTTAGTACGTGTGTACGACAGGATATATAATTTGTAGGATGTTTAGAGGCTGGAAAACAGATTACATGGCCAAAAATATGTGGACACCATGTGAACATTACACCTATTTGTGATTGCTGAAAATCGTATTCCAAAATCATGGAATTTGGTTATATTGGGCAATAGGGCCTCCCAGTTCATCCCAAAGGAGTTTGATGGTGTTAAGATCAGGATCAGTCAAGTTCTTTCATGCCAAAGTGGAAAAAGCATTTATTCACAGACCTGTCTTTGTGTAGGGGGCATTGTCTTTGTAAAAACAGGAAAGGCCCTTCCTCAGTCAGTTGCCACAAAGTTAGAAGCACACTTTTTATTGTTTAAAATATCTTTGTGTGCAGTTGCATTAAGATTTCCCTAAATTGAAACTACGAGCCATGAGAACAGCTCCGGACTTGTGTTTCCACATGCTCATATTTCAAGACCATTCCCCGAGCTGCTACCGAGGGAACTAAAACATGGAGATGGCTTATGATGAAGATGAGGAAAGCACATGACTCTCGGTAAAAAGGCACCGTACATAAAGAGGATTTTATGCCCTTTTCCAGTATTTTCTTATCTTGAATCTTTGTGCTTTGAAATTCAGCGAGAAAGGGAATGTAGAGAGAAACTCGAGGAAGAGAGGGACGAGGGTAGGTGAGAGAGAAAAGAGACCGTGATATGGAGATGGAAAAAGGGAATGGCATAGTAACAGAGTGAATTTAGAAATCCATTGGATTAGCTCTGCATTATACCAAGAGATAAGGTTTCTCACTTTCCTCTGCCTCTCCTAAACAGAACAGTGAAATACATATAGTATTTGAAGGATTTCATGAAGTATAAGAGTATTAAAGCCTGTCTGCTGAGGACGGTTGGCAAAGCTCGACTGTCACATTGCAACAACAGCTGACTCTAATTTTTATTTTATTTACTGACTCCCTGATTATTTTTATAACTTTCATTTCAAAACAATAAAGTGTGCGTAAGAAAGACATAGGTGATGTACTCATCGGCTGCGTTAGAACTGACAACTCGCGTAGCAGTTTCTATAGCAGCCAAGAGAGTCAGAAAGAGAGCTACTGTTAGGAGCGTCACATGTCCACCATCACAGGAAGTGTGTTGTTTAATGAACCATTCATTAGAGAGTACGCTGCAGTGTGTTATCTTATCAGTTATTTGTCACAGTAGAATTTGTCTACTCCCAGCAGAGAAATGAAAAAACGAGCTTCCTTTACTTATCGGTTGATGATCATTTGTGCTTCAATATAATGACACCAGACTAGTGAAACTGCTCACCAAGTTCTGTCATTTTTTTTTCAGAAACGAACTTTGTTATTTTCTAAGACAATCATTCATACTGTAAAATAACTGTTCTTAGTTGTCTTACCACTGCAGATTCAATATGTTTATTTACAGTTTTATTGAGTCAGCCTACATGACAAATTTCACAGTCATTGCACCAAACTAGACATGTATATTCATTTTAACTGTACTGTGTGTACACATAGTAAAGGACGTATTGTTTTGTAATTGGCTGTAAGGCAGGTGGCATGTTGGTTTGGTCATGATTCATACCCAGGTGCTCTCCAAGCATTTCCATTTACACTTGACTCAAACTGGTCATGACATTAGTGAGAAGGATTCTTTGTGTTGCTTCAGAGCACGTCACCAGACTGTGGCGGTTTGGTGGTTTCTTCATTCAGTTGGCTAACCTGACCACTTCAGGTCTGTGCTCTCTTTTAACACTGCAGGCTTCCCTAGTGTGTGTGTGTGTGTGTGTGTGTGTGTGTGTGTGTGTGTGTGTGCATGCAATCAGTGGTCTACTTGTGTTGATGGTCCTTTATGATTATTTAATGAAAACACAGCAGTGTGGTGGCAATGACAGGCCTCCGTGGGCAGAACAGAGCAGATGGTGGGCTACTGGCCGACAAAGATACTGTGTGTGTGTGTGTGTGTGTGTGTGAGTGTGTGAGTCACAGTAAGTTTAAATATTTTTCATTTTTATCATGAAGTGGACCAGTTTTTGTGAAATGAGCACAAACTCTGCAATCACAGAAAATGTTCAGAAATGTACAGAAGGTTTGTGAACTTTCTGTTTATATCCATATTTTATCGAACTGAGTTGATTGTTTTCATGTCAGTTCTGCGTGATGTTACGCTGTTATCTGACACTCCCAGGAAGAAATGAAAGTCAAATTTTCTCTCACTGAATCTAGATGTCAGATGTTTAGAAACAAATTTAAACGCATTGTATAAATTGCAGTGTTGTTTTGGAAAACATAACCTATGTGGACAGACAGTGGGGTTGCAGTCAGTGTATTGTTGAAAATTAAATCTAAATCTACATTAGAAATCGGTGTGAATCTGGTTTGTTGGATGTGAAGGCATTATGGTACCTGGTTGCTTACCTTTCTCTCTTTCTTTGTTTTTTTTTCTTGGTAAATAAGAGAACAACACAACCATGCACCAGACAGATTCAGTCAGACAGGATGAACTTCACAAACACACAAGCAGACAAACTTTGGCTGTCACAGAACCAGTGTTTACCCTGTGGCATTTTCATAGTATTGGCCTTCTGAGAGTCAGACTGAATCTAATTTGACATGACTCAAGCTGCTGCTGTGCTGCTTCTGCTGTATCAAATCCAAACAAATACACTTTCACTTTCAATCTCAGGTTTATAGTCAAATGTTGTTTTTTACTTCAGTTTTATAGTCAAATGTGCAGCTGCAGTGGTGCAGTCAAACTGTGTTTTAGATTAGTTCATCTGATAAACCCCAGGTCTTAAGTATGAAATATGTAAAAATACAATATTTCAGACAGCACCAGGAAAATAAAATACCCTCCAGATCCTTCCTTAATTCCAGTGCGTTGACCAGCTACCTGACCAACGGGCTGACGTCTCTCGAGCGTTTCCCCATCAGCTTTAAGACCCAGTTCTCGGGCCACTGCTTCCACCATGTTGTGCTGGGCGTCTACTGCAACGGCCGCTATGGATCACTGGGCATGAGCCGCCGCCAGGACCTGATGGACAAACCACTGACCCACCGCACACTGGGAGAACTGGTGGCCGAGTTCGAGAGCTCCTACAAGAGATACCAGCACACTCTGAAGAAGGTAAGAGAAGGGATGAAGGAAGGAGGAAGCGGAGGATGGAAATATGTTATGGATGGAGGAAAGAAGTTCCAGGATGAGTAAGGCTGTGTTTGATTTTAACCCCTGCTTCTCTCAGGTGAAGATCGGCCTGTATGTGCCTCATGACCCCCATGTCTTCCAGCCAATCGAATGGAAGCATTTGGTGCTGAATGCTGCCCGACTGGGAGCTCAGGAGATGAGGAAGGAGCTGGAGAAACACGGTCGGGACATGAGGATGAAGGTACATACTGTAAACACACATACACATAGTTTTTAAATGTGTTATTACAGATGTTTACATTCCAAAAACTTAAAAATGGGATTTTTTCGCATAAAAGAAATCCAACTATGAAATGTTTTTAAGTGTATATTTCCTTCACTGAAGCTATAATATAGAGAAGAGCACTAAACACTTGATCACGCTTGATGTTCAGAACCAGATAAATCGGTTCATTAGTAAGGTAATGAGTTTCCTACAGCTCGCCTGTGTTAATCAAACTACATCACAGTTTTAAATAAGAGATATTAATGTACCAGGGTGAGAAATTAATGGACAAAAATGCCTCTGTAGGTTCAAAAGAATGTCAGTGAATTAAAAGTTAAATTTCCGTGATAAATAACAGTGTCCCTTTTGTTAAGAGAGTAAGTGCAATACAGAAGAAGTGCTCAGCCTGAAGCAGGAGAAGAAATTTAGCACCAGCAGCTATAGGCAGAAGAAAATACAGACTTTCACACAGACCACAAAATAAATCAACTGGGAACAAAGTAGGGTGAAAATGGAGCGTTTGGGAGTAGTGCGCCAGTTTCCAGGAGTTGGACAGAAGGAAAACAGTTGTTAGTGGTACTACTAATGTAGTGTTTATTTGCCAGAATACAATACAAGCATGTTATTTCATCATTGAATACAAAAAAAAAACAAAACAAACATGACCTTTTTAAAAAAATACTGAAATGTCAGTGTGAATAAAACAAACACAGTTACTGTTAATACTCATGTTCTACATGTGCTTTCTGTTAGTCAGGTCCAAACTGAATTTGGCAAATTGACTTCAGGTTCTGCCGCATTTTATTTTATTCTGACTTTGACTCAAATCTGATTTGATTTATTCAATCAAGATGAGTTGATCCGGTAACAAGTGCTGCTGCTCAGCCACATGCCTCCTGCCTGCTTCAGCACTCCTGTAGCAGCCTGATGTTCTATTCTCAGTGTCTCTGTCTATACTTGGACTTTAAGGTGGAACATTTAACAACAGGTTGTCTAAACTCAACACGTATGGACTCTTTTTTTGGGGGGGGTCTTTTGAGACTGAACAAGGGAAACACCTTTTATTATATGTTTCCATGAAACCAGAGATGAATGTAGTTTCCCTTGGGCTGAACATGGAATATAAACTGTTATGAATGATTTAGGGCATGATGGGGAAGGAAGGAATCTCTGTGTGTGTGTGTGTGTGTGTGTGTATTTGAGGAAGAGAGGGAGACACAGACAAGTGAGTTGTCTAAGCTTACATGTTTTATGAAGGTTTTTTATATGTAATTTTCTGTGGGTTTATTTTTTGTTCTGACATTTTTGCATATTTGTTCAGCACGTGCAATTCTATGAAGGTAATATGTGAGTCTGTGTGTGCGTGGTTGCGTGTGAGATGCCGGTGTGGTACATAGACTGTGCTGCATGTCAGCAAGCTATGTAGGTCAGTGAGTTTGCAGCTGTCACACACTGAAATGCTATTTCACTAACATGTACATGAAAACACAGACACACACGGTCAGACTCTGGTCAGCTGTGTGTGTCTGTGTTTTCAGACTTTGGTATAATCTCTGTTGTACTCCAGAGAATGCATATTTATTGTAAACATAAAGCAAGTGCTCATGTACTTCTATCTGTAGAAGCACCCTGCCAGTAAGGCTTTGTTTTTTCCTCTCTCTTCTTCTAAAAGCTGTTTGAGGGTTAAGGCCTGGTAGGAAAAACATACAAACACAGACCCATATATCTGTCAGAACCACATGACGAACGTGACCAGCTGCGGAATATGAGCCACATCCTGGCTTATGCTTTGTCCGGGAAAACTCGCCATCCGTGTTCATCCTGAAGTTTTTTTCCTCCCACTGAGTTCTTAATGATAGCTTCAAGTTCCTGTTTCAACACACACACACGAAATGTAGCTCATTTGCAGCTTTAAAATTGTATCTTCTGCACAATTCGTGGGCCACAGCAGTTTTTCGAGATTGGGGGAGATTTAAAAAAAAGAATAAAACATCACGCGCACACACAGATTGTGTTCTGTGGTCCCATTCAACACGGCTGCACTTTCTGCCTTGCAGCTGAATAGCAGCAGTGGTTGTTGGCGTCGTGCTACCATCATTTCTTCACACTGAAATGCCTGAAGGAGTGCAGTAGCTCTTTGTGAGGGTATAGCAGGGTGTAAATAGAAAACCAGCGTATGCCCTGCGCTCAACCAGTTTTTACTGTTTGTCTGTTTACTGATGAAAGCAATTTGAAGATGACACCTTGAGCTATGAGGAATTATGATTGGCAGTTTATCACATACTTGACTTTTTGTAGACCGTAAAGCTGACAGCGACTGCATATTAGCATGTTGGTTAACAGTTGCCTATTTACACATGCAGTAGACACTATAGCAACAATAGCATTCATTTAAAGTTGTGTTTGTGTTCACCTGCTCAGTGTAAGGACAATATTCACTCATCTTTTAGCCCTGGTTTGGTCTCCACCAACTCCAGAGGAAAAATACCTGGCTTTTTAGCAGCAAGATGTTCTACTTTCTTCATCGGCTAGTCTCTATTTTTTTCTGCAGTTTGGTGCTGAGCAGGTAGTGTTCAGTGTGATTATCAGGGCTTTGTTGCTGGAAACTGCTGCCTGCCGCTGCTGGAAACGAGGTTAAGGAGAGCAGTGAGACTAAATCACGGTAAATTTGCTTAAAAACCAAAACAATGAGCTGAAAGAGGCTAAACGTGTGGATGATAATGGATAGTGTTTTTTTCTCTCTATCAATATGAAAAATGACAACTGGTGAAATTGTAATTTTCTTTTGATAGATCCTCAAATCGTCCAGTGCCCAGTCACCAATCAAGGAGCGGAGCCGGGGGAAATCCTTATCACCACGGCGAAGACAGAGCAGTCCCCAGCGACGCTTCACACACCGCAGAGACAAATCGTGAGTTTTTCCCCATCCCATTCCCTCAAGACAGGGGATTTGAGGATGTGTGTGTGTGTCTTGTTATGCTCTTTCCAAACTTTGAGATTTGAGCAGTTTGAAATTTTTAGACAGATAAGGACTCCGAGTAATGGCTGGTTTCCAAATCTACCAGGGAGTTCACCAGAGTTTGAATAGTGGATGCTAGTATTTATCTATCCTGTGTGTTCCTTCCTTCCTCCTCCCCTCTCTTCCTTTCTCATCATGACTCTGCTTATCAGGTCAAGGAGAGTTTAGAGCGCGCGCGCGCGTGCGTGCGTGCGTGCGTGTCTTTGCTGCTGACAGCTCAGCATTATCACCAGGCAGACAAGTCCTTGTTCTGATCACTAGGCGTTGCCACTGGGGTCTGCACTAATCCACATATAAAAACAGAGAGAACATTAAACCAAACTCCATACAGAAGTTACATACAGCCCTGCAGTTATGAAGTAGAACAGAGTTTTTAAATAAGTTTTACTCTTTATTTTATCTGGCTACATTCCTAGACAATGAAAAGGACGTTTTCACACACTTTTTTTCTAAATTGTTGTCTTTAGTTTGAAGAAGTGTCAATACAAATCATGTATAATGTAATTAATTGTAATATATCTTGCAAAAAGACTGTTGAATGAGAAAGTGTGTTAAAACTCTCATGTGAAACCCGGAGGGATGAAAGTCTTTCAGGGCTAGTAGCTCTTAAAAACAGGGTGACTCACCACTCAGATTCAGTGGCAGGGAAACCTTGACACACACACACACACACACACACACACACCTGCAGAATGCTGTGTGTGTTTGTGTGTGCTGTCAGCTGTGTGGTGGGATGTAACACAATATGACCTGGACAACAGCTGCAGCTCAGCCGTACTGTAGGGTCACCACACACACACAAATGCTGCACCAGAATTAGTCACATTCCCGGTGCTGTCATTTGACGTGACACCGGGATGACCTTTCTTATGAGAAGTTCCAGCAGACTTGTCTAATTATGTCTAATTAATCAGGTGTGTGTGTGTGTGTGTGTGTGTGTGTGTGTGTGTGTGTGTGTGTGTGTGTGTGTGTGTGTGTGTGTGTGTGTGTGTGTGTGTGTGTGTGTGTGTGTGTGTGTGTGTGTGTGTATAAAAAAGAAAAAAAATTACACAAAAAGGAGGCTTTTTCAAATCAAATAATCTCTTCTCTCAAATCATGTAGAACCAGTTATTAGATCATTTTACACAAATCATAAAACCCCAAATGCAATTCAGCTATTAAAAAATTAAAGCTGTGCATTAGTGTAGTTTATCCTCTACTAGCAATTTTGCTTTTAGCATTAGTTAATATCTAAACTTTGATTGACTGTTAAAGCTTAAAAGTTATATTCCTCATTTGTTTTCGTCCTCTCTGATGGTTATAAGAATATAAATCTGGTAAGATGGTCAATTTGAGAGAGCTGCAATATATTGGCACAAAAATACTTTGAGAATCTGTTTATTGTTTATTTATCAACCACAAAATGCCCCAAAACAAACATTTCTTACCCTATTTTATATCACTGCAAACCGAATGTTTTTGGGTTTTGGACTGTTGGTCTCTCAGAACAAGACCATTTGAAGGTGTCACACCTTGGACACTTAATCTTCATTGTATTGTTTCAGTGTAGAAGAAAAACAAAATAACCAAAAAAGAAAGTGAAATTAGTTAACAGTCGAGTTTAGGAAGGTCATTAAACACCGCGCCCCCTAGTGATGAGGAATGAATCTAAAATATTATTGGAGTATCGGGAGAACTGCCTGTCAGGTCTGCATGATACAGTAGCTTTCATCATGATAACTTTTCATATTTTCTAGTTAAAAATAGTGCGTTTGGTTTTTAACCTGCAAACGACGACATTTGCATACTACATATCCTACTGCACTAAACCGTCTGGCCAATTTGAACTTTTGTAGTTTTTCATGATTGACAGGAGGCTGTATTTCATAGGTTCAAACCCTGCAGCCTACAGCCTTTCATCAGTACAAGTTCTCTTGAAGTGCCCTTGAGCCGAACTCTAAACCTTGGATCGCTTGCTTGTGGCTACAGACGCATGATATTCTAATGATGTTCAGTGAGGAGGTGAAACCTGTTATCGCATTCTGATTTCTCTTATTAAATATACACTCATCACACAAGTTGGAGAAAGGACTTTATTACTCTGTGAGTTGTGGGATGTTAAAAAGTGTCCTCATTAACATAAATCTGCTTCCTTTCCCTTAAGGGTTCAGTCTGACTCATTGTTATTTTAATCTTTTGTAAAAGTTAATGGTCTCATCAGTTCAGAAAAACTATTCAGGACTGATGAGAACACAGCAGAACAGCACATTACCACTTTAAACCACTTGAATGTGGTACTTTAAAAGCTATTACTGTTATCAACAGAGCACTTACACAGTTAACAACATGTTGCCACTTCAGACAGACCACTCCAACAGAGATAGTTTAATAATCTGCTGCTGGTTTTAACTGCAACACTTCAAGCACTGGGTTATTTTAGCAGCATGGGTAAGACGTTACAGGAGGCGGTTAGCAGCACTGCCTGCTATACACAAACTAATACAACACAAAGCTAAATTAAGTGAAATAACATTAGACATTGAAATATATTAAAAACAACATTCAAATAGATTTTAAAATAAAATTCTGTGAACATCTTACTTCCTCACTTCCCTCTGGGTAGAGATGGTCAATAACAATAAAAAGCAAAGAAATAGGAGTAGAGAGGGCAAAAAGAAGAACAGTAAAAGATGAGAGTAAAGGATGGTAGAAAATGTGAAAGAAAGACAGGCAGAAAGAAAAGAGGAGAAGAAATGTTAGAAAAAGGTGGAGAGAGGGACGAGGCCTGCCAGAGGAAAACAGAGGGATGAGAGGAGGAGAAATAAAAACAGTTCAACAGTTTGACTTTTAGCACTTGTCCTTGATATGTCACAGAGAGAGGGCTTGGACGCTTCCTTAAAAGAGAGGATAAAGGGAGGAGAAGAGAGGAGGAGATGATATGAAAAGAGAGGGCAAGAAGAAGAGAAGAAAGAGCACTGAGGATTAAATCTGATGACTTTCTGGCTTATCGAACCTCTTGCTGAGAAATGGCAGACGGCTGAATCTCTCTCATTTTCCATCTGCTTCACATCTTTTACTTTTTTCTCACTTTTTTCTTTCACTTTCAAAGATGCACTGCAGAAATCTGGAGGAAAATAACAGTTTGGAAACAGAAGATTGAAGGTTGAAAATTCTTTAAGGTTGAAATCTTTTGAAAATGGCTATTAATGGACCTTGACTTGAAAGCATTGTGAATGTTTTTAAACCTGCAGTTTTTTACACACCTCTCCTTCTCTATTACTGGAATTTTGCGTCTTTTTTTGGCATTACCGTCACTGTTATCAAGTATGGACAGTTTAGCACGCTCTTGGTTTTTCTCCTGCTCGGTCCATTGTCTGCCTTAATCTGTTTCTGATTCTTTAATCCATTTTTTTTTTCAATGAAATGCTTTGTTCCTGGGTTCATGGTGCTGATTCTTTCCCCATGTTGGACCACAGCAAAAGAAACAGTCCTAGTGTTTTTGTTATTTTTAGTAGAGCTGGAATGATTAATTGATAAATTAGTCAATTGACAGAAAAACAATTGTCAGAGGTTTTCCTAATCCTTTAAGTCATTTTTTGACTTCTCAAATGTGAATATTTACTGATTTTCTTAGTCTTATATGATAGTAAACGGAACTTTTGAGGTTTTTACATAAATCTGGGCTCTAAGAAACAGTGATGGGCATTATTTTATCAACCAAATGATTAAACTACTAATAGAAGAAAAGACTAATTGATTGTTAGTTTTGACACAGCTGAGGTTTGACCTAGTTTACTTCTACTGTGTAACATTTGGGAAGAAATGTCACAGCACCGTCATAGTGCTTTTAGTACGCACAGTGTGATCTGACCGTTTATCTGCTCTGTCTGTTAGGCCGGCCTCGGTGGAGAGGAAACCTCCGGAGCTCAGCACGCTCAACGACGGCTACCAGATCCGCATCTGATCCCCCTCCTTCATGTCCCGGTCATCCAAGATCCGTCCAGCCTTCTCGGTCACCCTGATCCAACAGTCTCTACCTGCCACCGATGATTTTAAGATGGGAGTCACTGCAGCTGGATCACCTCATCTGGATTTGAGACAGACGAGGTGGATGGCGAACACACAAATATGTTAAAAGTGCTTTTCAGAGCTCGAACAGGAAGAACTTCCTCATACAAAAAGTGACAGTGGGTCTGGTTTTAATACTTCACGGTGGACATTGTTTACCCATTTCGTAGCATTGAATCCAGCCTCATTATCACACACAGCCTGAGAGTGGCTGCTCTTTCTTTTGCACCGACACATTTCAGTCACATAGCTGAAGCGCTTACAGGTGATTTTAATTTATTTTTAGATTTCCCACATTTTTAAAGGCTGAGAGCTATTGTGTCCTGACAGCAGGTGTAACCAAGTATTTCTGTGACCCATCAGTGACCATCTGTCCTTTAGAGAAAGGCTACGACAGGAAGTGAGAGATCTTTGTTGGTACAAATAGATGGAACACTTTCTTCAGTGTAGCCATGGTGGAAGAGTCTCAACAAAAAGATGTTAGCTACTTTCAGCACAAAGAACAACTAAAAACAGATTAATTTGTTGGTGGTTTTGGCATGTCATTGTGTATAATAATCAGTTAACATAATGACACTTCTAAAGCACAATTTCAGCTATAGGAGTGAGGATGACTAAAGGTTTTCATTTTGTTAGCACCTTGGCTTCATGTTCAAGAAAAATATTATTAAAAGAATGTTTAAGGTACATTTTAACTTTTCCAAAACCTTCCCAAGCTGCAGCAGTTGAAACACGATGACTAAATAGATTTCCAAATGCAGATTCTATTGATCAGCGTCTAGAAAAAGGAGAGGACATTCAATATGGTATGCAGGGAAATCAAAGACAGAGTCGATAGAGAGGAAAAAGAAGGATAAAAGAGAACAAGAGAAGGGCTGACGAGGAGTGAGAAAAGAAGTGATGTAGAGAGAGGATTCACTGCAGAACCATCATTAGAGCACTGCGGCAACCCCCCCTTCCTTCTCATTCTCCTCTTCTCTTGCCCTCTGTTGACACATAACTGAATACATTACCACAGCTCTGTTTCCATCCAGGCTGAGAATGAAACTCCTCAGACACAGAAGTGGAATAGAAAGACAATATTTTATGCTATATATGAAGCCAGAAAGGCTGATATTCTATCAAGTTAAAACAGCAAGTCCACATCGTTATTTATTTAACACATTGATTTCTGTTATTTATTGTTTAACTCAAGGGGAAAGCTTCTGTTGATGGATGGAAACTTAGCTGTAGCTTAAGCCTGTATCTTTTTACAGGTTTTACAGGCTCTACCTGTGTTGTTGCACCTGTTATAAACAATCTAGATCCGTGCACAGGAATAATTGGAGGGGTCACTTCTTGATCAATGGGATGAGAACGATTTGTAATACTGGACGCTTTCACCTCACCAGGCCTCCAAAAATCCTTCAAATAAAAATAAAAAATTCGTAAAAAGAAAAATCAGTCTTCGGTTGTCCTCACTGAACCTGTGATGAAGTAGACCGTGGCTCCATTTTTAGGGGTCACAAGGCAGAAAGGCTGGGAACCACTGATCCAAACCAGTGGGTTTTTTAGGGCTCAAAGAAGTGAAAGTATTCAGTATTACACAAGAAAAGAAGCTAATACTAGACAAATACCAGATACCACATAATTGTGTGTTCCTTTTTCCTTCTCATCTCTTTAATCAGACATATATTGATATGTCAACATGTTTGGTGAATAAGTGGTGGGTTGAACTTGAAATACTTTGTGTTCTGATTTTCAAAATCCAATTACTAGTCTTTCCAAAAACAAGTCAGCAGAAGGCTAATGGAGTTTCGTGCGTGTTGACCAAACTCGGCTGTAGTCAACCCATGTGTCCACACAGTAATCTAACATACTGTTAGCCAGCTGGCTGATGCATTCACAGCTGGAAAATAAAATCATTCAGATGGTCCAAGTTCAGCTGTAGCCAGTTTGTCCACTCAGACAAACAAGGAGTGAAGGCAGATGTTGTTGGCTGAGTGAACACACTGCAACAAAGGTCTCATTCAGGGCAGATTTATGTGGCAGAGGGATGTAAGACTCCGTGCGCTGTCAGTCGATATTAAAGGCAGTCAAGACAGCGGGCTCAGGGCCCTTAGATGGCTCTAAGATGATTGTTGGGTCACAAAATGACAAAAACAGATAAACCAAACACTGACTCTGGAGAGCCAGCGGAGGTTCTCCGACACGATTCAGTTTGTTGCAACCTGCAACTAAATCTAAATGTTTGTGTCAAAACAGATTTTCAATCAATAACTCATATTCTCAGTTCTTTGCTGGAGGCAAATAAGAGTCAGGAAATCACAAAAGTTCTCGATCAATTGTCTTTTTGCTCTGTGACGCTTTGGTACTAAGTGACCTATGAGAATCCATTCAGTACTATATGCACTGTTTCACGCTCGTACGCGTGATGTATCATGTTTGTTGGATTCGCCTGTTGAGGCCTTCGATGAAGAAGCTGCGAAGCTTGAAATCTCACATCACACACATCCAGTACGACATTCATAGTTGATTTTAACCAGTCTGATACAAATGCTTGAAATGAATATCACATATCGTAGGCAGACATAAAACAGTGTTCGGTTCTTACTAAACAGTACAGAAACCTGAAATCAGATATTCAACACATGCTGTTACATCCTGTACTTAGGTACAGTAAATACATATGTACATCTAAATGCATCTATGTGTATTCATGTTTGTTACATCCACAGAATGTACTGTAAAGCCTTCAGAATGACAACTATATAAGTCAGCTTTAATAAAGAAAAGATGTGTTCGTAAGTACATCACAGCCCTCCACCCCTGACCACCTCTATTCACAGAATTAAGTCCATAATTTAAGAAAAAGCAACTTTCAAGACTAGCTTTGTAACGGTTTGGCTACTTGATGAACTGTCTGCTTTTAGGATACTGACTTATATAGTTTTCATCTGGAGGATTAACATGGTGGAAAATTGTGTTTCCCAAAGTCAAGTGCAAAGATCTTTGTTCAGTTAAGCTGCACCGGGGAACTTTAGATTTTTGGTCATATTTAAAGGCACTTTAGTGCCATAGCACTAGTAGCGCTATGGAGCAATGTTTTTAAGAGTTCCTGTTTTGTTAGTATCTCATGCATGCTGTCTAGGATGCTACTTCACCATGCTAGTGGCAGGAATGTGCCAAGAAGTGTGCCAACAAAAGCAAGGAAGGCTGCTAGCAAACAAACATGTATGTAAACTAAAGTTCTCCCAAAAATCATCTCAATTAATTGATGAGAAAGGAAATTAATTATGCCTCAATGATACACAAAATCCATTTTGGTGAGGAATGGTGAAAGTAAACCCTTTTGATGTGAATTGGAACCTGTCTCAGCAGCCACTTTGGGATTTAAACTGATGCAAATGGTGTGTTTTTATTCTTCCTGGTGCAACTTTAACTAAATGATCTTACATACCTTTAAATTTTAGGGAAAAACAAGAGCAGCCTCATTTTACTTTTTGTTGATTTGGTTACATCAATCATCAGCAGGAGGATTCCAGGAGTGTTTGTACAGATTGTTTCTGAATATTGTCATTCGATTGTTTTATTACTTTTCTTTGAATGTTTCACGGCGTCTTCTCGCTCACAGAACAAGTGTGTGTTGTTGCCAACTGAAAACTACATTTTACCCTAGCTTTTTGACTCAACAACAAGCTATGCATACGCTGTGATAGAGAGCAGGTTACGAGGAAAAAATCTAAAATCCTAGTCTTCCACAATTCAAGCGATGGAGGAAGAATGTGTGCGGCTCGATCTACACACACAAAAAAACATCTGTGCCGAAATGAATCTTGGTCGTTTAGAATAATTGTACTCGCCAAGTATAACCAGGACCTTCTGGGAGCTTTCTTCACGACATATAAACAGCTTTCCTTCGGCGTAGATCCAGCCTGAGCCATTATCACTGATTCAAGGTGCTGTGAGAAAAAGCAGAATATTTTTACATATTTCTGATGTTGCAGTGGACCATAGCACAGCCCAGAGAGGGAGATCAAACCATCACATCTCCAACTCTGGCACAAACCAACCAGCTCAACCTGTTAGTATTTGTATCGAAGGTTAAGTGTTGATAATTTCTAACGGCTTGGTGTTTGTTAGCATACAGAAGAAGCACAAATGCTGCTTTGCTTTTTGAGTATTTAAAATCCTCTTTCACTCCGTAGTTGTGGACAAAAAGACAAAGACTTAATGCATTTTCATACTGAAGAAGCAACGTTGTTCAGGAAAGAATAACGCTTATTTTCTGACTGATGTTCACATATTTTTGGAACAATACAAATGGAGATTCAGATAACAGTTACCAAGGACCTAAAGTTCACATGTTTCTCTTGACGCACAGATGACCATGAACATTTGGATTTAAAGACAAACATCAAAACTGCAGTTCTGGAGATTTTACCCAACAACAGTGGAAAAACTACCTGGGCTCAGCAAGGACACTGAGATGTGTTAAGTGAGACCGAGAAAAGACAAACAAACTGATAACTCAATGTAGCAACTGAAATCTGTTTTTATGTCCGTTTGCAATAGAGACATCTGTGCTTAACAAAAAAACTATAAGATAAATTGTCTTGTTAGTTTTATTTTTTTGATTCTGACATTTTGGTTTGATTCATTGATTGTACTGTATATCATTTTGAATGAAAAAACATTTGTTATAAAAAAAAAAAAAAGATCACCATGTAGTTGTAGCAGGTGTTTTTGATGGCCTTTGATTCGTTTCCAAAGTGCTGATACCACGTTTCTCAACTCCATCTTTAGTCCTAAACTTGCAGTACTGTTCTAATGTCAGCAATTAATAGCCATGTTTTACCACAAATTTAACAACACAATGATCTTGAATCTCTGCTTTGGCTTACTGCAGGCAGTGACATCAATAATCAAATTGAATGATAGAATATGAAGTCTGTTACCTGGTCGGATGCTAATCCATTAAATCCAGGTTGCATATGATGATGAATTTTTTATTTTTTTTTTGCTGGACAAAAAAAAAAATTGCTCTACATTTTGTATTCGTGCACTGCGGCTGCTTATTTGAAGTTATTTTATTCCTCCCAAAAGCCGAACCAAATTCCGAGCAACACATCTGGACAGTGTTTGAAATAAAGATGTTTCGTAGACATGAGCTTTCACGTGAAGCTTCCAGTGCCTCAGCAGTATGGGTTCAATCAGATAAGAATATCTTTATAAAATTTTTCTTTGTGTCTTTGGTGTGTGTTTGGAGGAGTTGCCCATGTGCATTGTGCAAAAAAAGTTACTGATTCTGTCATCACACTTGTATTTACCAGTGAACAATGTTTGCTAAACATCATCTATTCCCTTTTTGTTTGCCTAACTGGTTTTGTTTTCCTGTTCTGAAAGTCTATGACAGAAACATTTGTTTGGTTGCCCTTCTTCTGTTTGCCTGTTTCTGGAAACATTTTTCTTGTTACGAACATTTAAAAGCGGACAGACCTGCTCTGTGCTGTGAAGAACAAAGGGACAGTCGGCCTTCTATCAAACTGAGTCTGACTGATAAGACGAGCAAAATGCAGTGTGCTGTGTGTTCGAATTGAACTCCAAACCACTGTAACAGTATTCAGCCAGCGTCTTAACTGATCAGACAGAGCTCACTGGACTGACTGGAGCCAACAGACCGGGCTGAGGAAACTCTGAGTGATTTTAATATGTGGAAAGAGCTACACACACACACAATTATTATTTTTACAGAGTGCTGTTGAGTCCGTCCAGGTTCCCTGTGTGAGGATGTGGTGTGGTTTTGTATTCCTGTGGAGATCAATAGTAGGAGATGATGTGACCCCCCCCCGTCATTATTATTATCGTAACTTTCCTACTGTTCATCAGTGTTCTGACAGCAGCTGTTTTTATCAACAACTGTAGCAGCATGTGTGCTTTTAATAAATTATCTATGTTTTTAACTGTGTGTTCTTTTGCTGTTCATGTTGACGAATAAGAGAGACATTTGATTGATTGACTGATCGGGTGGTTGGTAAATATATGGCATACATTTTTCAAGTACCTAGGTTCATACTGGAATTCATCTATTTTCGTACTTCACTATATTTATCTGATTTCTGCAGCTACTTGTTACTTTGCAGAAAGTTTATAATGCACTAATTAAAATGAGCCAGTTGTACATCAGAGCCTGACCATTAAATTGACAGGATCAATATAATTGGCTGATTTGAGCTCATCATAAATACATTTTAAGAAGTTGTTTAACTGTTCATGTTCCATTGTTTTTTTCTGTACAGTACACAGCTCTAAGAACAGAGTTAAGGGATCTTTATCCAAAATGTTAATATTTTGTGATAATTTAAAAATTAAAACCAATGTAAGCTGATATCCTTAGTTTTTAAAAAAAAATATACATGGGCCTCAAAAATCCAGTATTTAGGCTCCATATGAAGAACATCAACAATAAACAGGCAATAATAATGCACTCAATAATTCACTAAAATAAATCTATAAAGTTTGAATTTGTACATTGTGATAGTGCTACGTCTACTTGTTAGAATTTGTTTAATTATTACAGTGTAATATTAGCTGAAGGAGCTGACAGATTGATTTTTAGTCATCTTTCCTGGGGAAAAACATCTCAAACACAACAATCCCTCCACTATCACCAGCACACAGCTCAGGATCTACATGATGCACACTACAGAAGACGATTCAGCTGAAAACTTAGATGAGACAGTTAAACATAAAAGATGCAAGGAGAGTAAAGCAATACCGTGTATGATACGGCTAAACAAAATAAGGAATTACACCGGAGTGTCAACAAGTGTCCAAAATAATAGGCAACCCACTCCCCTCAGTTGATTCCCTGTATACTCATCGGACTGAGATCATCTCCGACCCATCACATCCAGCTCATCACATGTCCTTCACTCAGGGAGACACTACAGGTCACTTTCCACCAAGACCAAACGCTTCACAAACAGCTTGTTCCCCACAGCCATCAGGACTCCTCCCTCTAGTCACCTCCTCACACACCACTGGCATGGCCAGTCACCAAATGTGTTCCTGTATTGTTATGCGCAGTCTCTACTATTGTCCATTTGTTGTATGTAGGCTATTATATGTATGTGATTCAGAGTTTAACATACTGTACCCGTCTCTGTTGTGTGGCTCATAAAACAATCTAACCTAAGGTTGCCAGTTCAAAAGCTTCACAGCAGTTCAACTAATTGGCAGACAAACACTCCACTTGGCAAGGCACTCTGCACTGTAAATCTGCTCAGTGGTCCACAACAAAAGACCGAGGCTCTTATGATCAGAGCTGTGGTGTGAATGTGAATAAAAGCATGAATTTTGGAAGGATGTTGCTGAGCAAACCACCAAACACGATGAACTTCAAGAACAGAAGACGACGCAGAAGAGAAACACGAGGAAGCTGCAGTGAAAACTATGATTTGAATAATGTTATTCCTCTTTGGATGACAGTCCTTTACACACTCACACTACACGACAGCCAGCCTGGCTTCTGATAAAATAATCTACTTACGTGCCACTGCAGATATGTGTGTGTGTGTGTGTGTGTGTGTTTTAGACTAGCACATGGAGGCAGCAGATTTATAGAAATAATCCTTCATTTCTCATCTATGTAGCAGTTTAGGGATTGAAACTCGCCTCACTCTGTGTGCCTATTTCTGTCAATGGGTTATGATGATGTAAGAGTGTGTGTGTGTGCGCGTGCACAGAGTTGATTCCCACCTCCCTCTGTACTGTGATGATCAAGCTGTGGACGGAGCTGTCAAGGTGAAAAAGCCACCAGAGCTTTTCAAAACAACAAGATGATTCAGTCTCCTATTTGGTTTCACATTTTGATTTAAATGATTTGTCCTTCAAGCGGCGCCAATTATAATTTCCATCAAATCATATCTACAGGGGGGTTAATAAACATAAAAACTAACTTCCCACCTCATGCTGTGTTTTAGAGCAGAAAAGTTGAGTTTTCATTTGCTGACAATCCTCCCTCAGGGCCCCTGCTCACATATAAAAAAAAAGCATTTTAGAAAAGAGAAAGAAAAGATTTAAAAACAAGTTGTTTTAAAAAACAGAAAAGAAAATCATGAAGACGTCATTCCACACTAAAGAGTGATGTTACAGTGTCCTGGAGTACACCTGTACATCATTGCTCAAACCACCAGAGGTCAGGAAAAAAAACAAGATTGAGAAGTTTCTATGGATGTTATTTGGTGCTGTGAAATCTTGTCACTGAAGATCGACCACTGTTAATCCATGTGGTTAACCATATTTATTATCAGCTCCTTTAGTTCATCTGCCCTCACTGTTTTATGCATTTATAACCGCTTATCCATGCAGGGTTGGAGGCGGATGAGAGACAAACAACCATACAAACACACACTATCACACCTAAGGGCAATTTAGAGTCACTGATTAACCTTCCTGCAGGTCTTTGGACGGTGGAAGGAAGCCGGACAGAACCCACGCAGACACGAGCAGAACACGCAAACCCCACACAGAAAGGCGACCAGGTTCCCTCACTGGTTAACACAAAGTCCACTGCTGCCATCTAGTGCTCAACAACTAAACAGCAACAAGGAGTTCTTTCCTGGTGGTTTCCATCTGCCACAGGATGCTGCAGCTAAGAAATCTGTTGAGCTCAAACCTCTGATGACTTTCTGCAGTATACAGGTGAAACTCGAAAAATTAGCATATCGTGCAAAAGTTAATTTATTTCAGTAATTCAACTTAAAAGGTGAAACTAATATATTATATATAGACTCATTACATGCAAAGTGAGATATTTCAAGCCTTTGATATAATTTCGATGATTATTGCGTACAGCTTATGAAAACCCCAAATTCAAAATCTCAGAAAATTAGAATATTGAAATCAATAAAAAAAAAGAAAGAAAAGCATTTTAAATACAGAAATGTCAGCCCTCTGAAAAGTATAATCATGCATATGTACTTAGTACTTGGTTTGGACCCATTTTGCATGAATTACTGCCTCAATGCGGCGTGGCATGGATGCTATCAGCTTGTGGCACTGCTGAGGTGTTATGGAAGACCAGGATGCTTCAATAGCGGCCTTCAGCTCTTCTGCATTGTTCGGTCTCATGTCTTTCATCTTTCTCTTGGCAATGCCCCATAGATTCTCTACGGGGTTCAGGTCAGCCGAGTTTGCTGGCCAATCAAGCACAGTAATCCCATGGTCATTGAACCAGGTTTTGGTACTTTTGGCAGTGTGGGCAGGTGCCAAGTCCTGCTGGAAAATGAAGTCAGCATCTCCATAAAGCTCGTCTGCTGAAGGAAGCATAAAGTGCTCTAAAATGTCCTGGTAGACGGCTGCGCTGACTCTGGACTTAATAAAGCACAGTGGACCAACACCAGCAGATGACGTGGCTCCCCAAACCAACACAGACTGTGGAAACTTCACGCTGGACTTCAAGCATCTTGGATTGTGTCCCTCTCCATCCTTCCTCCAGACTCTGGGACCTTGGTTTCCAAATGAGATGCAAAATTTGCTCTCATCAGAAAAGAGGACTTTGGACCACTGAGAAACAGACCAGTTTAAGACGCTTCTGACGTTGATTGTTGTTCAGGAGCAGCTTGACAAGAGGAATATGACATTTGAAGAACATGTCCAGGTCCCGTCTATGTGTGGTGGCTCTTGATGCAGTAACTCCTTGTGAAGCTCCCCCACACATTTGAATGGCCTTTTCCTGACAATCCTCTCCAGGCTTTGGTCATCCCTGCTGCTTGTGCACCTTTTTCTTCCACACTTTTCCCTTCCACTTAACTTTCTACTAATGTGCCTTGATACAGCACTTTGAGAACATCCAACTTCTTTTGCAATTACCGTTTGAGGCTTTCCCTCCTTGTGGAGGGTGTCAATGATGGTTTTCTGCACAACTGTCAGGTCAGCAGTCTTCCCCATGATTGTGAATTCCAGTGAACCAGACTGAGAGACCAATTAAAGGCTCAGGAACCCTTTGAAGGTGTTTTGGATTAATTAGCTGATTA